AATGTTTTTTTGGGCTCAAATGAAAGAGCGGGTCGAGAAATGGCGTGCTAGGGCCTCTAAAGATGGTTGTGATCCAGGGGAGACCTCTAGACCCCAATGTTCTATACATACTCCTCGACCCCATTGTCCTCCTAGACAATGTTGTCCCAACCCGGTTTCTGAATTGAAAACAGACATCATCTTTAGAGGCATTGAACGTTGAACGAGGACATTGAACGAGACATGAACGTTGATTCCGATAATTCAGGCGACGGGCTATCCAGAACTCTCAAAAGTATGTGGAAAAAGTGAAAAATGAAAAAAAATTTTTTTCATTTAGGCCAAAGTGTCAGATCTTGGATTTTCCCCGGGGGAAAGTCGACTTTCGCCAAAATCGAATTTTTTCGCCAAGTGAAGGTCCATTCTGTATCTACTGACGATTCTGACGTCAATGAAATACTCGGAAACGCGAGAAATGTCGAAATAAAATTTTTAGTTTCCCCTTGAACATTCAAAATTAAATAACGAAAAAATAATGAAAAAAGTATGATTACGTGATTCTCATTAACAACATGTAAACCTTCCGGTATAACATTATCTCAGACGGTGACGGTACCCTCTCCTCAAATATCTCTTGAACCACGAAATCGACTCATTTTTCTTAATTCTCCTTCGCGCGGTAACGAGAAACAATAGCATTGGTCACGACAAGTTTGTTATTCCTGCAATACTCTTATACCTACACGTATACGTATACCCACGACAAATTATTACGTGATGACTGTTTGTATTGTTCACTCGTGTTTCGACTACTGGTAACTCAACGAGCTAACCAGTCGGGCAATTCAATACGCCACCAGACACCGAATTGTCAAGATGTGTCGAACTATTTGTGCTCTCGTTGTCTGCCTATCGGCGCTTGCCAGTGCTGCCGAGTTCAAGGATTGTGGTAAGCGATTAATTAGATATTCCTTATTTTTATATTTATTTTTATTTATATATTATTAAAATGGCCTCACGTATTCTGACCGAAATTCCAAAACAGTTCGCGGTATTAACGACGTAAAATCGAATAAAATCCACAAAAAAATATATTTTAAATACTCGAACATCTTGTTATTTACAATATTGACGCAGTTGCTACAAATGATCTTTTTATTTTCTTATCGCCATAATTATCTGTCGCAATTAACTATCATGAATGGAGCGACTGATTAATTATGACGAACAGCGGAAGAAATATTCTCATTTTTTGCGTATTTATTTATTTTTTGTATTGAATCCTTGACCATTAGTTGTCAATTTTTTGCCATCTCTTTTTCACCTTAGTCGCAACAACTTGAGGTTTCCCTCGTTCGTATTTCTTTTGCGTAGGCAGATAATGACGAACCAAGTTGAATGATTATATGAAGCATCTCAGTAAGTGTATCACGCGTTTGTTCTCAAATTATATTCCGAATATCTTTTGAGGGAACGAAATAATTTTTGTAGCAATTTCTTCTCTCTAATGAAAGATTTTTTTAATTTGCACATTGGTAATTATTTAATTGGTTAAGGCTGTTCCACGCATTGATAATGATTCAATTTATTATTTAATTTATGCCTTGAAAACATCTAAGGTTTGACCTAGTAGATGGCCCGGAAATAGAATAGAACACGTGTGAAAAAAATTAATAGAAAACCTAGAGAAATCGCTAGAAATGTCTATTGGCATTCTATAGGAGTTCTCTGGGGTTTCTATAGGATTTTTATTGGAATTCCATTGAAAAATTCTATTTGTTTTTGCGCTGATTCTATTGGATAAGAAAAAGTCGATAGATTTTTGGGCATTAATTTTCTAAATCTTTTCCACTTGGATTCTGTTATGCCAAACAAAACAAAATCCAATGGAAAAAAATTGGAAAATTTGTGTTCAATAATTTTAATAGAAAAAAAATCTCCAGAGAAAAAATCGCACGTAAATTAAAAACATATTGACTTTTTTCTATCAAATAAAATTCTTCAATCGAATTCCTATAGAATTCCAATAGAATTTTCCACCGAATTCGCAAGATTTTCTGTTAAATTTTTTCACGCGTGAAGACGATTTTCTTCTGTTGTAATTTTTATCCAAACGAGACTTGTTCGTTTTTCTCCCATCGTAGATCCCACGCGATGATTCACCTCGTCAAAAGACATCTAATTCGATGTGACATATACCTAGAACAATTACGGTTGAGTAACGGAAGAACAATAATTATCTTGTTTACCTTTGTCCGATAGCCGACAATGAATGACTTGAGTTCAGCTCCATTGTGTACTATTTGGGGACAAGTATAATTGGACACTCGACTGACCCGTCTCTTTGTCACTGATGTTTCAGGGTCTTCAGTGGGAAAGTACAGCTCTATCAGTATCAGTGACTGTGGAGCCAGTGATAGCGAGTGTATTCTGACCAAGGGAACCAATGCCACCATTGAAATTTCATTCAGCACTGGTGAAGAATCCATTATTCTTCTAGTGAATTGGTCATAATTAAATGAGATTGAGGAAATCGAGAGTAGTCTTTTCAATTCAGAGCAGAATATTTTTTTTCATTCGATAAAACAATTTTATGATTCATCTCCACGGCAAATTTCCAAAGATAAACATAGCGAAGACGATCAAAATTCTGTTTGATTTTTATTAATCTTCTGCTGAAAATTCTATCAGTTTTTGGCCGATTCTGGTGAAATTTTACAATTCATCTGCACAAATTTCTTCATTATTTAACAGGAATATCTCATTCTGTTGAAATATTTTCTATAGATTTTTTTGCTTTTTGTTTGATTTTTTTTTAATAAAAAGAGAAGAAGAATAGAGAGAGAGAATAAACTTAAAAATGGATGTCCACGAATTTTTATCGAAAATAAAATTAGTTTCTATGGGACATTCTCTATGAAAAGAGTGGCCGTAAATTAATAGAATTTTTCTATGAAATTTTATTGTACGTGTCCATAAAAATAGCGGAAGTACGTAATTTCAAAGGAAATTATGATGTTTTTATGATGAAAAAAGAATCATAAAATTGTGGAACAGATGAATTGTACTCGATAAAATTATAGAATTAGGAAGGGCAATTGTCGTTCAGATGTTAAGATAAGAAAACATTGCGGTCAGGTAGTTACCAATTGGGAAATAAGGTCAATCACAATGTTACAGTGGAGCCCGTCAATGCTGTTAAGGCAGTTGTCCATGGAATTCTAACTGGTGTGCCCATACCATTTCCAATTTCCCACCCAGATGCTTGTGCTAATCCGGACACTGGGATCACGTGTCCTTTGAAGAAGGATCAAGCGTACACTTACAGGAAAACTTTTCCTATTCTAGCTCAATATCCCAAGGTGATTTAGCGACGTCCAAATTTCGTTATTGTTGCGTACGAATGGAGGCTTTGCAATCGTTCAAATTTAAGTTTTTTTTGTGTTGGAGCAACTCGTATTAAGGATATCCAAGTATCTTTTATTGTTCGGTACAGGTCACACTATAAATTCAATCATTTTACTCCGAATTATAATTTTTTTAAACATTCGGTGTTTATAAATGTTAGTTATGCTCGTAATATTTAAAAAATGAATTTTTTAAATTATTTCATCAATTTTCCTCCAAAACTAAACTTGCAGAATTTGTTTCCGATTGTTAAAATGTTTCCTAACGGCTCAATGTCGATATTTAATTCAGATTTGCAAAGTTTAAATCATAAAATCATTATAAAATGTAAATAAAAGTCCGGAAATTTAGGGTCGAAAAAATAGCCAAAGTACTTAGATATCCTTAACAAAAATATCTACGCTGCATAAAGACAGGCAATGTCGCACTTGTTCTTTCATTACCCTGAGAAAATTGTCTTTTACAGGTGAAGGTTGAGGTTAAATGGGAATTGCAAAATGAAAAGAGACAGGACATCGTCTGTATCTTGATTCCTGCAAAAATTCAGGAAAAAAAATCAGCGAACTGAATGATTTTTCAATCCATTGACAGCGATCGACTGAATATATTCCACTATTGTTTTTTTTGTATTCATTTCTGGTCATCAGGTCAAAGATAAAATAGAATTTCCAGGTGAAATTTGAAAATACTGAGCTCACTTTATTTTCCGAACTTCCGTAACACTTTATTAATTAACAAACGCTAGTAGAAAATGAAATCATTAATCAAATTTTCGTTTATCATAAGTTAGAGTTATCACTTTTAATGCACGAGGCGCCTACGATATATTTTATATTTAATTAGATAGTTAATTTGAACAACACTGTGGCAATTATCTGTGATCCACTTGATCCTCGTCATCACTGTTATTTTTGTGATCTTTTCCACTCGAAAATCCTGGGACGAATACAGCAATACGGCAATAATAATATTACAACTAATGAGCATTTCTGCGAAAATGAAAAATCACAAAAAATCAATTTACAAAAGAATAATATCGAATTATTTTTGAAGAGTTAATGTCCTCGAATAACACTCCCTAAGCACTGAATCGATTAGTCAATTGATCCGAAAGTCACAGACAATATGAGATCTTGAAGAACGAAAACAGAAAGTAAAGTGTACAGAAATAAATTTATTAAATACGAAAACAACGAATAATACTCTGAGGGGGGAAGAAGGGATATATTCCGTTCATATTCAGCGAGAATTTCACAATTTTGTTGGATCTTCACGCACACGAAGTACTTCCTCACATTTTTAATACCAGAATTTTAGCATTCGAGTGGCGAAATTTAATAATTCAGTAGTGAAGTTGTGAGAAAATAATTCAGTTCCGCTCAGATCCCGTTTTTTTTAATTCCTTGAAATTTAAGTCTCAACAAGAACCTTTTTTGTAAAAGGTTGTACAACCATTTTTATCCAGTATCATTATTATAATTTATTTAACAATTCATTTCTTATTTGTGGTTATTTAATATCCGAAAGGAAGAAGTAGTCCTAGAATTTTTTTGGAACTACTAAAGCTATTTTTGCGACAAACAAATTTCATCTCAAGACAATTTTTAAATTGTCAGCACTAGATTAAATTTTTTTTTTGTAATTTTGAAATTGTGACTCGTTTGAGGAATTTTTTTTTATTTTTCAGTGTAGTTCTCACTCTACAAAATATTTTCCATCCCCTCTGAATCCCATGATATTCATGAAAATTAATCTGTTCTCAATATAAAATTTAGTATAAAATTACCTCAGTAATGAGTGATTTCAACAAAAAAAAATTCGCTCGGGAGAAAGGCCTTTCGTCATTTTTTCCTAAAGTGAAAAAATATATGACGATGCACTCGAATTATTTCACCACTTCACTGCGAATTTCAGATCCGTTTCATCTCTTGAATGTCCTCAAAATCCCCATCATCAACTTTCCATGGCGTCTGGCCTGTCGTCTAACCGTCCGCTGACCATTTGATAAAGCGATCGTTTTGTGCATTGTCTTGTTGTACTCTGGTCGTTACTTGTTGACTTCTGGGCCTGATAAATCGGCTCGTACTCCCTCAGTTGTGCCATGAAACCGTCGTTTGGATTTATGCAGAATCTTCGTTGTTGGACCAGTGCGTATGCTCGTCTGGAATTCAATTTTTTCCACCGAATTAAGCTAAATTAATTTCTTTCAATGATAGAAAAATGATTGGAAATTTTATTATTTTTATTATTAAGATTGATAATTTTAATAAGATGTTTTTGAGACGTTTCATTTTTTTCGAAATTTTCTCAAAAGGGATCAATCGGATTTGATGAATTTTTCTATGAATGCAGACTTTAATAAGTTCTAGTCATTGACATCAATCGAAATTCAATTTTTCATATAGATTCGAAAAAATTGATATTTTTTCAAAAATTGATTTCTCAACGATCACTCAAAAAATAGTCATCAAAATGGAATTAGTCATGGCTCAAAAAATTGATAACAATATCCTCTTGCAATTCGTTGTTGAGTTATGGCACATTGTTTATGCGATTTGAAAAAGAAAATCGGTATTTTCATGATTATTGAAAGAATTATCAATAATAGCAATTAAATTAGGGCTTCAAAAGTATATTTCAATGGCTTCTTAATCAAGTTGAAAAATGGTGAGAACAGCATCATTGCTTACCAAGTTACACAATACCGTCATGAGCTTTTTATATAAAAATCTCGATCTCTATTAAACTCAGGTGCCAGTCTATTATGTTGAATACTTATTCATATTGATTCATGGTCCCGACTAACTTCTGACAGAGCCTGGGTTCAACTCTGGCTAAATCCTGAATAAACCCTGATTAAATCCCGGCTGTACACTGATTAAACCTCGATCAAACCTTGATTAAACCCGGACTGAGAACGAATTCGAGTCTTGAGAGGGTCTGAATGTAGAATTATTTGACAGAAGAAATAATACGCAAAATTTTAACGACATTTCAATTGATGATAGTACTGTGACTTGAAAAAATAGAAGAAGAGAATACTGAAACAAGAATTTAAAAAAAGAGAACCCATTCGGAAGCAAGTGGCTAATTTACTAGCAACAATAACTACAAGTACTATATAGTTGAACAAATTCAATTATTTCTCTTAGAGGTGTATTTACTTGGGTCTAATAAAGTGCAGAGCTTATTACTCACGTGTGGGAAAGTCCGTACAACTGCATTACGTATGCAAGGACCAGAGCTGCTGACCTAGAGATTCCGGCGTTACCATGAACCAAAACGTGTCCCTGGGAATTTAATCCTTCATCTATGAACTTTTTGACCGTGGGAAAGTGCTGGATTATGTTCTCTGTCGCCACGTCCGCAATATTCAGTACTAGATATCTGATGGAAATAACAAATGTATTTGTAGAAAGGTCGAGCTCATTTAGTTTGTGGGTGAATATGAGTTGAACATTTACTTGAATTGGTCAGGGAAGTTTGGCTTTATGAAGTGCGCCTCGATGTCCTGTCTGACGCACACGATGTGGGTGATTCCTAGCTCCTGCAGTTCAGGGAGCTTTGAACGACTTGCTGCACTGTAGGGACCTAGGTAGAGCCCAGGGATCACCTCCTGTTGGAGTTATTTATTTGTAGAAAACGATTCTCCCAGTTTTGTTTCCAACAACTTGAGAATAAGAAAAAAGTAAAATGGAAGGAATTGAAATTAATGAGATTTGTGAGAGTAGATGACTAATGAAAATCCAAGAAGGAAGAATTAATTAATTCAAACAAATTAGTCGCAATGAATTATTTGTATGGGAATTCCTCATCATTAATGCTACAATTTTTTTCAGTTCTACTTCTCCTTTTTCATTGAAAATAGGATAAGTTGTATAGGAAAATCGAATTCTATTGATCGTTTTTATAGAATATTTTCCACTGAATATTTCTATTGACAGAAAATGTGCTGATTAGCTGTGAAGCTAAAATCCAATGGAATTTCCTAGCGAATTCCCTACGTTTTTTAATAAAATTTTGTTGTACGTGTCTCCTTGAATTTTTTTTATAGATCAGAAATGAAAAATAGTGATTATATTCGAAGAATTCTCCAAAAAAATATGCTTTGGCGATTTTTTAAAGTTTAATTTTCAGTTACAAAAAATTCTGGGCCATCAGAAATAACTTTGACCTAAAAAATCAGATTCCTAAGGAAAAATCATGCAAAAATAGTGGTTTTTAAATAACATTTCCTCTGAGAACGAAAATTTTTTGTTCCAACGTGAACCTCTTCTCAACTAATCTAATTAACAATCAATTCACTCGAATTAATAATGAATTACCTGCATGCTCCTCCTCATAGTGTACGTCCATTCCTTGGGTTGCGCCAAGGACGAGATCCTTGAGGGTTCCTCAGACGAGTCATCGTTGGGTATTTCCTAAAAATAAAAAAATTCTCTCATCTCTCATTCATCTCAAGAAATTGAATTTTTTTTTATCAATTCCTCTTCATTGACGAAAACATCGTTAACTCGAGGAAATATGGAATGGAGATACAAAAACAATAATACAAGATCATCACGATAACCTCGAATCGTGTCGTTGACTCGTCCACATAAATAAATATATCATCACCTCGTGGATACTCACGTTCTCCTGGTGCATCCGGTTGTTATCGAGAGACAGCATCCTCCTTAATTTTGACGTTAAACTGTCAATGGCGATGATCTTCCTCCCGTCGCACGGGAGATGGTTCTAAACAAACGCCAGTTGTTTTTTACTCTCAACTAGGTGTTCGACAGGAGATCTTCAAGTAGGGGATGAATTTCGAGGAATTGTGGGATTCACTCTGCAATCATTGGAAATTGATTCGCTGATGATCTTTGAGTTGAATGACTATTCAAGGTCGATTAATTATTCATTATAATATTTAGTAATTAATCACACTTGTGGCTGCATTTTTTAATGTCGGGGATCTGGCGGGAAGTTTGAATTCTTGACATGAATTCGCAATTTAACGATTTATCAACTGATTTCATTTAAATTATTCCATTTTCAGCGATTAGGCAAAATTTTTCAATTTGCATTTTTTGATGCATTAATTATTGATGTGATGTAAAGACGATTTTTTCATTCAATTGACAATTGTAAATGAAGAATGGATAAGTTAATAACCATTAAATGTCAATAATTTTTTTTTGTAATTTAATGGATTCCATTTGAATATTTTAATTTAATTTTAGACAACTCAATTTTTTTTACTATATTTCGATTATTGTTTGGACGCACAATTGAGTAAATAATTTTATTTACACAAGTTTGAATGAATTTGAAACATTGTATTTAAAGAAACTATCAGAATGCTCACTTTCAGGGAAATTCATGAAAAATACAAAATTTTCAACAATCATCATAAAAATCAAATCAACCAATATAGCTATCGCTTTCATTTTCGAACTCGTTCAAAAGGACAGCCAAACGAATTTTTTAAGCCATCATTCAATCAATTCAGAAAATTTTTTTAGTCATCGTGGGACAACCGATTTTCGGAAAAATTCGAAAATTAAAAAACTAATCGATGAATTAAATTTTAATTAATGGCGCTTGATAGAACTCTCACCAATACCTACATTTCAAAGAAAAGATTCAATTCTATCCATTCATTAGCGAACAATTGAAGAAAAATCATACTTGGTCAATATAACACAAAAAATCCAAAACTTAAATTTGAAGGATTACAAAATTTCCATTCGGAATCAAAATAGAAAAATAAAATTTGCGAAACGTATCGTTATTTATCTCTAATTTTAACAAATGGAGATGACCATCAACATGAAAATGGGAATAATGGGATATTTAGGTTCAGGGTAACCTTTAACTTCAATTGTATCAAAAAATAATTTATAAAAACATTCATGATAGCGTGTTTATTCATTTTGTGTCATTGATGTATATACATGTAGGTGTTTGACATTAGTGACGTGATTAACACGCCAATAGGATTCAACGATCCTCATAAATTTTCATCCAACACGGGCTTCCATATTCGTTTATCAATTTCTTGTGTTAGTTCTTCCAAGTGGTTTCTTCCCAGACGAAATTACAAAAGAATAGAACAAAGTAAAACGATGACTGATTCCGAAATGATGATTTATTGTGACTCTCAGCAGTTGGAAAATAACTGCTGTGCCTTAACTCCTAAACTGTTTCATCACATCGTTAATTCCTGAAATGAGAGAGAATGGGAACATTAGTTCACTTGTGGTCGTGATTAATTTGTCTCATTGCGATCGATTCTGGGGATTTTCAGTCTGCCAAGATTTTCAACAATTATGTTTTCTGACTGTGAAATAATAAGCGAAACCTTCACGTTTTTCATCAGTAAATCCCCGTAATCATGGTGGAGAATATTTGACAAGTGGTTTTATTACCATAATGGCATTAACGATGTCGTTCTGATTATTTTTGAGGGCCTTGATGGCTTTCCCTCGTGAGACGTTCGCCTGCGTCATCACGAGGTCAACATCCTTTTCCTCCACACCCGTTTCGTCAACTTCCTCCTCGGATTCTTCTTGAATTGGTGCAACAATCTGTCGATGAGAGAGAATATTAATATGATGTTGACAATTTTTTGCTGAAATGTCGGGTATATTTCAAGGAATTTCGTCATTGAACATTCAAAATTTTATGGAAAAATCATTAGAAATGGTAAATTTTAGTTCAATTATTGCACAAAAATTGATTGAAATCAGAAAAATTCAGATAAATGTGTTCTTGAAATTTCAATTAATTGAAAATTCAAGAAAGTTTGGGAATTATCATTTGTTTGCAGTTCAAAAAGTTGAAAATTCATAATTTTTTTGCCCAAAATCGAGTTTAACATCACTTCCCTAAAAATTACTAGTCAAATGTCCATTAAATTAATTTTTTTTTCTATCAAAATAACAAAAAAACATTAAAATAATTAATTCCCCCCGAAATTTTTGAATTAACGGTGACTTTTGTTAATTATTCAAGAATAATTACCGTTGTGCTACCCCCAGCCTCGGCTGTTGACAATGTTGGTGGCTCCTTGAACTTCTCAGCAGCTGCAACTTGCGCCTGCTGGCTGAGATCTTCAATCTAAAGAACCAAAACAAGAAATCAATTAATTAACAATCTCGTTATTATCGAGAAAAAAAATGATAAATATGTGAATGATCGAATAGTTCACCTTAGCCTCCCCAAAGATGATGTAAGTGTCAGATGCGGGGTTCTTTAGGACATCTGGCTTGTTGATAACGAAAAGGATGTTCTTTGATTTGCGAATGGTCACCCTGTTAACACCCTGCACCAACTTGAGTCCAAGTTTGCTCATGAGTTTTCTCGCTTTCTTCTCACTTCTACTCTGTTTTGCCTTGGAGATAACATCGATTGGTAGTCCACTGACATTTGTACCAGAGAAACCAACTCCACCAGCTGCTGTTGGGTCCTCGAGCTCGGGAATTGAGTCGTCAGAGTCGGAGTCTGTGCCTGATCCTACCGCCTCAACCTCCACCTTCGAGGGCTCGGAGCTCGCTGCTTTGTCGAGTTCGGTTAGTTCTGGCATTTTGTAGCTAAAAAATAATTTCATCGGTTATGGGTTGAAGACAGGGGGAGAGTTATTGCACATTTACTTCTAGAATTTATTCATTTGTAGATTATAGTCCTCATTTTTGAGGGGTAGAGGTTTAGAAATTTATCAAGAGACTGTTTGTGAGGAGAATTTCATGTTTGATTCTGGGGATTTTCAGTCTGCCAAGATTTTCAACAATTGTTTTCTGACTGTGAAATTATAGCGAAACCTTCACGTGTTACATCATTAAATCCCCTTAATCATAACGAAGAATTATTTAAAAAACGATTTTGTTATATTCCAATGGATTTTTTCTGATTAATTTGGGCTTGAAAAAAAATGTTTTTGAAGAATTTTGTGATCTAAAGAAAATTCGTTAATATTTTCTGATGAATTTGATGGATTCAGATGTATTTGTGGAATAGGACATGTAATTTTTCCATCTCTCCAAGAAATTTCGCTCTAAGAATTTGTTGTTCAAGTTTTTCAGGAATATCTTTAGAAAAAAGAGGTTTAGGTAGATTCATCAAAAAACATTGTTTATAGAGAATTTCATGGCTCACAAGAAAGATCTCTTGATATTTTTCGATAAACCCAATATTTTCGGAGATATTCGAACAATAAATTGCGTAAAAATATCGACCAACCGTATTTAATCGCTCAGCCACAAAAATGATCTTTAAAATTATACAAATAGGGACAATTGACGATAATTTATTTCCTAATATGGTTAGCCGGGTGAGCCATTTTTGGATCAAAGTTCCCTGGAGCGAATGGCGCCCAAAGATGCACCGAATCCCCCCTGGGGCATAACCAAACGTTTGATGAGCTAATCTCACCAGCAAAACGTGAATAAATATTTTAAATTGGACTGGGAGGATTTTCAGGGTTAAAAGACGAAATTCAACGTGAAATTGTGCTTAAAATAGGGATAATTAACTTTTTGTACGATGCAGAGCGGAGGACGACATGATCGGCAGTTTTGGTCATTGACCGGTGACAATAGACACAGTCGCGAGTGGATATTTTTTGTAAATTGCAGGGCAATATTTCGCGATGATTATTTGTGGACTTACAATGTGTAATTACGTGTGATGTTCGTGATATATTTGGATTTACCTTGGGTGTGAGATTCTGACGGTCGTAGGTCCCTTTACGAGAGATGTAAACTAAGGCCAGTTCGCATGGGCGTGGGAACATGTTGAATGGGGCTTTAGGCGTTATTCTCATCAGTTTACGAACGCAGCTCGGACGGTCGAAGGTTTCGGAACGCAGTGATTATTGCCGCCGGAATTCAAACGGACGAATTATTGAAATGAAAGAAGAAGGATTGAATTATTGAGTAAATAGGAGGTAATTGATTAATTGAACAAATATAATTTTTTTTAAACATACAGAAGCGAAATTAAATGAATCAATCTTTCTTTTTTCTTTGATCTATTCATGAACATGAATAGTTTTTTACAGAAATTCTTCATTTCACGTACGAGAAAATTCCATAGAAAAATCCAGTGAATTCTTTAGACAATTCTATTGTATTTATATTGAAAAATACTACAGTTTCTATGTGGGTTTTTTTATCCGATAGAAATGTTCATAAAATTGCATTTTTATAAACAACTTATTCCACTGATTTATTTTCTCGAAAAATTCTTCGGCTGAATTTTTTAAAGTTTTTTTTTGTTCAATTTTTTTAAGGAAAAGAGAAACAAAATAGAGTGTGAAATTTTTGAAAATTCGTCTCGAAAAATTCTTGTAGAAAATCTCTCAATAAAAAACGTTGTATAGAAAAATGAAATCGCTTAGTTTTTGGAGAATATCTCCGCATCTAAGGTAGTTCGAGAATTCCTCATTTGCGGCGACATATTTATCTCTTCTTTATTTCGTTAGACGGTGTATGGGAAAGTAGTTGGTATAGTGCAATAATGACAAATTCACTTAAGTTGTTCATAAATTCTTCATATTTATTGTCTCAAAATAATCGATAGAAACGACTAATAGCGTCTACTCATTGGTGGCACACATGCCTGCTTCCCTCCAGCAAATGATGTGTTGGTGTTGTGGCCATCGTTGACGGCACTCGTCATCATTGTCACAGACGAATTCAGGAAACAGTTCTATAAAATTTTTAATCAAATGTCATTAGTCCTTACTAGAATCTGCCCCGACATTTCTATCTCTCATCGTCGCCCAATTTCTTTTTTCAAAGTTTTGCTGCTAATTGATCTGGTATTTTTACCAGCTGCGGGTGAAAAATGATGGTGAAAAAAAAAATCGAATGATCGGTAGATTCTCATAATCAGCCTTATGAAAATGCGATGAAAATACGTTTAGGACTCTTGACTTCATTCAATGCCCAAATGACCAATAATTTAACTGAATAATTATAACGAAACTTGAGACTCACCGCCGGCTTTCACGACCATAGCAACGAATGCCAGCAGCAGGAAGACACATAGGAGCTTATTCATGGTGAAATACAGATTGTAAAGTGTGAATTCAGGCATTTTTCAGGCGTTTATATACCGTCGGTCAAGGTAGACTTGCTGATAATCGTTTACGTACTTTTTCCTCTTCACCAGGAAGTATGTTTACTGCGTAGTCCATTAGACCATGGAACAAGTAATTAAAAGCATTTTTCCTATCTATTATTGGTATCATTGAGGAAACTTCTCACTCTGAACGAGGCAAAAAATATAGGAATGCATTTGCATGAAAGATATCAACACTATTTAGTGACATGCAATTATTAGTCATTCAAGCATTATGTGATTACCCCTTTGGCAATGTGGATAACGTCCTAGGAAAATTCGAGAAAATTCTCAAAAACAGAAAGTGGTGGATCGTGTATTGCATATAGTATAGATATTTTTGCAAATAAATTAGCAATATGCTTCCGAATGGCCGCTTTGCACATAATTTCCTTCATCATGTATAATTCATTGTTTATTTAATTCTATTAAATTGAATGAGATTTCTTTTCAATTAATTTTGTCAGATTTTCAACTTAGTTGAATATCATCATTATCATTATTCTTATTATCCCTTTCTTCTGTACAACCGATTGTCTTTTTTACGGTTCTATCTCTTCCCTCAGTCCTTCGATAAAATGTTAATAGAAAAATTTTATTTACACATAGTTGAATGAATTTGAAACATCACATTTGAAGAAACCATCAGAAAGCTCACTTTCAGGGAAATTCATCAAAAATTCGAAACTTTCAACAATCATCATAAAAATCAAATCAACCAATATAGCTATCGTAATCATCTTTTAACTTCGACTTAGTGGCATCAAAACAAATATTTTAAGCTATGATTGAATTCATTTGAAGCATGATATTCAAAGATATCCCCGGAATTCTGATTTTCAAAAAATACAAAATTTTTGCAAATTTTCAAATAAATCAAAATTACGATTATTGCTATCGACTTCATCTTCGAACTCGGCCAAAAGGACATCCAAACAAATTTTTTAAGCCATCATTCAATCAATTTAGAACATTTTTTTAAATATCGTGGGACAACCGATTTTCGAAAAAAATCGAAAATTAAAAAAACTAATCGATGAATTAAATTTGAATTAATGGCGATTGATAGGGCTCAATAATACCTACATTAAAAAAAAAAGATTCAATTCCAACCATGCATTAGCGAACAATTGGAACAATAATAACAACAATTGGAAAATAATTTATCGATATAGTGCATAAAAAATCTCAAATCCATGAAAATTCATTATCTGGAAGTTTTATTTAATTTTTCATCTTCATTATTTCATTTTACATATCTCTTGGCATTTAATACATATCGACAAATTCAAATGCTCAATTTGAAAACTAAAGAAAACCCATTTCTGTCTCACATTCACATTTTTAGACAACTTTATTCATTTAATATTGTTAGCTACAAATATCAGTCATTCTCAAATCCTCCAGTTGTCAATTCAACTGACAAACCTCTCGCAATGATGTAACATTGTCCGTAGATATAATTTCTCTTACACTTTGTAATCTGTATTTATATACAACCTTTCGACAATATGTCTCATTGCGTTGGATTGCGATAAGTCATGTTCACATTTTTGCTTTAAAAAAATCAATGAGTAGCGATAATATTAACATTCATTATTATATTACATGCCCATCCACGTAATCGTCGATCTTCATTGAACCGTATTCCTCATTGAATGAAATCGGTTAATATCGTAGCATCTTACGTTAGTTGGGATATTGTAACTTTAATCGAGTAGTTAGCAAATATAAAGTGATCTGCAACATTGACAAATGTATAAGTAGTTCTTAGAATATGTTCACAATAGAAAATTGTTATTCATCCCACCAGACTTTCATAGAAAAATTATATTCTCCAATTAGCCTTTTACTTTCTGATATGAAATAATATTTATGTTAACGTGGAATTGAATTATAATATTCAATTTATGGGTAGATATTATTGTGCGAATGTTGATTAAGGATATCCAAGAAAATTGGGAGAGAAAATTGTAGGGCTTTCAAATAATTATCGTTTTAGGAAGTTTGAAATGTAACAATTGTTAAATTTTTGGAAACTGAGATTAATCAAGACCAGTTGAATGTCTCGCAGCTGATGATGATCGGTTAAATCGGCATTAGTTGAAGTTACTGAGATTATTACGTATTATGTAGGAAATTCAGTTTTTAACTACATTTATAATTTATTATTTTTGTGTTATTCGAGTGCTTTTGGGGGAGAATTGTTCATTTGGATATTTTCTCTCAACTTTCCGGACTTTTTTTTCTTTTATCAGTATTGCGGATGTGAAAAAATTCGGTGACATGTCGTGTGACACATGCCAGTTGAAGAAATTGACGAATGACCTTCATATTCTCAATCTCAATACACGATTAAAAATTTTCGTCTGAATTTTCCGTCTCAAATCTCGGACATTTTTATCATGTTTAATTTTCACTGAGATTTCAGGAAATTTTGTCATTGAAAAATCAAATATTTCATTGATTTTCTACTCGAATGATCTGAAAATTGATAGAATACTTGATTTTTCAGTTCAATTATTCCGTGAAAATTCGAGAAAACTAGGACAATTCAGGAAAAAATTGAAAATTTATGTCATTTTGTTCCTGAATATTTAGGTTTCATTAAAAATTCAGTCAAGTTGTGAAATTTCATAAACATTTTTCTCCTAAATCAAATTTAATTTAATTTTATTAAATTAATGTCAATATTAATTTAATTGAATAAAATCAATTTTTAATTTTTTAAAAATTTTGTCAATTTAATTTAATTCAATTTTTTTTGTTCAATAGAAATCCAATAGAATTGTCTAGCGAATTAACTGGCTTTTTTTAAATTAAATGTTCACACGACTGTCATAAATTTGACGATAATTTTCACATTCCCAATCAATGCCCATTAAATCGTCGATCAATTTCATTGATATTACACTCAATTATGTACGAATCCTATCATCATGGGGATTCTCTTCCTCAAATATCCTTCAACACTCAAGTAGAATGAATTGTCATGCTCCCTATTTTGCGATAATTTTCTCGTTTCCTTTGATAACTGCCAAATTTTCATACTCTAAAATTTTTCCCCTCGTCGTTGATTAATTGAAATTACACACCAGAATTCTTTTTTTCTTTTCATTTTGTTAATCTAATTGTGACATGTGCGATCGACAACACCCAACATATAGGACGTCACACTAATTTTCGGTTTTTCAATATCTTCACCGTTTGTGGCGATGATATTATCATAAGTCGTATGACCTATCTATAAGTTTAAGGGTATCTTTTTCCCCCAAGTTCTCGACAAACTTTATTCACTTCTCTATTATGAGTTAATTGATCTCATTATGTTGAAAACGATATTTATGATCTATGAAGAGATTTATAATTCACTGGAACATTGAACGTGCGGTAAATTAATTTATGTCACATTTTTTTCGGTTCAACTTCTCTGCCAGTTTCATTTATGGGTCCCGGTTAATTATTGAAATGCCTCTGAGCACATTTTTCACTCCAATCATCTCGGCACTGTATTCACGCTCTACTTAATGATTTTTCGGACAAAGAATACGTGTATTTTCTTTTTCTACCTTCCGAATTTTCATCTCATCAAGATTGTCAAACACCTAGAACGAGTACGACATAGATATGTTAGGGAAGAGGCCGTTGCTTTGATTTTATTTTCCTTAGTATTAATTCTCATTGTACCTTTGAACTATGGATAACTGAGAAAAACCAGAGATGACTGATTGTTGTTTATTGAATTATTTCAGTCGTAAGATTTTTTTATTGACTGATGTCAGGAGAGCCTTTGAACGTGGAGAAAAATTACGAAACCGGAGCCTCATATAATTCTCGGTAGAACGAATGTATTTACCCGAAAAACATATAAATCTCTCACGAGATCAATTGCTACTACGAAAATTATCATGTTTCGGTGGAAACTTTTTTTTTTGTCCACAAGTAAATTGATTCAACAAGACGAAAGATCTTGTTCGGCAGAACTAATTGTTTCTCTCAGTGAATTGTAAAACTTTACTGTACACGAATCGTAAGATATTCTCCGCAAAAAGTATTTTTTATTGAATTACAATTCCGCTGCACCGTTCGTATAATAAAATTTTCCGCGATTTTCTAGATAATTTTTACCCAACGAATGGCCGCCAAAGACTCCATATTAATGTTTTCTAAAAATTCCATTTCTGTTTCATTTGAAATGTCAGTAGAGTTTCTCAGTTTTAATCCATTTTTCAATCGGTATCGTTGCTTAGGAATTAATCTGAAATTCAACAACGGATGAGCCACCAGAATGTTTTTGCCGTTAAAATCAGAAAGATTGATAATCTCGACTTCCCCATGCTCTGATGATCTTTAAACCCTTGAGACCATTCCGGTTTGAAGGATCATCCGTAGTTGATTTCATTATATACATGAATCTACATACATATCTCTACGGAATATTCATGAATGTGAATCTACACATACTGTTGTATAATGCACTCGCGCCTATCGGTTATACCTAGTTTATTAATAATGCAAGATTTAGGCTAATAGATTCGATTGTCAAAGATACATGTTAAGTTCAATATATATTATTTACTTCTTACAGTTTGAAAGAAAGAGTTTATCGCATATGCACTTGAATAGATCACGCTTTGCGCAATTAAGTAGGCCATTTTTATATTTCTTTGATTTTTTTTTTTCGTAGAAAACATTTATCTAGGTAAGCGTTTAGTTCCTGTGAAATTTCGGAGTAATAACATATCTCAACTATTTATCAATTAGTTATTTAGCGTTGATTAGGGCTCCTCCATTGCTGTAATTGATGTATTTTCCCTCACAACCATTTGGTGATTTGGGATTTATTTTTTGGTGACACCTCTATCTGACACAGCCTTGTGATGTTCCTGGTCAATTCATCATTAAAAATTATCACATGGACAATTCATCGTACGGACATTCCAGCGCTTGGACAATTCATCACATGGAACATTCTTCACAATTAATCGATAAAAAATAAGCGGAATTAAACAGTGGGTGTAATAAATAGTGTATTTCATCACGCTGTGTGTAAAGTGACATTTTATGCACGCAAAATCCCACTTCACACGCATTGTGATGAAAAATAGCGTCCGACACTCGTGGGAAAAGTGTTTTTTGATCCGTGGGAGGGCAGCACTCGTCTTCGGCGAGCGCTACACACCTCCCACACGTAAAAAACCACTTTTCCGCACTCGTATCGAAATACACTATTTCATAATTGTGGAGAATATTTATTAACAACATCTGGCTTTGAATTTCCATTCCAATAATTGAATATCAAATGAATTCCGCAATTTTGTTTGACGACATTAGACTCATCATTAAATATTTCAATAATATTTTTCTTCTTCACTTTCATTGTAAAGACTCAATAAATTAGGAAGTAATTAAGAATTGGACGAAATTCGCAATTATGATGGGACCGCCGACTAATAGCAGAATAAATTAGGCTTTTGATTAAATATTTCAATCATGTTTTTTTTTTCACGTCATGAATTGTCGATATAATGGAATGAACTGGGCCTACTCAGTCCACTGAGCCCACTCAGTTGTCCTATAATAAAATGGGATGATGACTAGTCGTAGAACCGTGTTCATTAGTGGTAGAACCAAATTTTTTTATGAATGTAGGCGGGCTGGTTGCACCAAACCCTGTCTGTCACTACAATTGTTATTGTAAATGACGGGATTCATCCAAAATTCATTCAAGATGTCTATAATCACAGTTGGATTATTTACGAATTTTTCTGGAAATTTTTTGTAGATTTTCTGCTCAAGTTGTTAGCAATCGAAGCAGGAAACTGAGCTGATAATACAGTTTCATACTAATTTAAAAAATCCATGTATAAGAAATTAAATCGATTGTTAATCATTTCTAAACGAAACCTAGGAAAATTCGAAAAAAATCGTGCATTAGCTGACAATTGCAATGAACGTCCTACAAAAATTTCAAATCAATGTCATCATTTTTTTTTTTTCGCACAATGTAGTCAACAGGGGCTAGTGTAACCAGCCCTTTGCGATCACAACTCCGAAAGATAATGCAGTTAAGAATATCACCAGAATACACCAGATTTATGCATCATTTCTCAGCAATAATATAATACTCCGAGTTTCAATTTTTTCCTCATTTTTTTCCACTTCTCATCACATGTGATACGTATGTTTATATTCTCTCAATTTCCAAGACCCCAGATTTCATATTCGATGCTAGAATCTAAATATAAGGTATAAAAATTTGTGAATGAAGGAATTATCACTTGAATGAAAACATTTTTTTTAGTGATTGCACTCATTATATCAGGATTGTCAGTGTGGAAAAGAGTTTCATCGTCTTCTCGCACATCGTTCGTCATCTAGGCCGTTGTTTGAATCTTCATTTTTCTTTCACAAAGAAGAATTATATTTTTATCGTTTCATTTTCTTGGGATATTAGTTTATCATTTAGTTAGAACTATTGATTCTACAACATCGTTATATCTTCTCCATTATCACCACTCTCTTCTGATAACGTCCAATATTATTTGTGAAGTCCATCACCTAAATGCACTGGACACCGATACAGATATCGATTGATTCTCTCATTTTTCTTACACTTAATCATAAAATCCCTTGAGAAAGAGGGAAGGAGCGAGCGAGAGAGATTGAATTATTGCACTACAATTTTAATTTTGTGTGTCATGTTGTTTTTATTTCCTCTCCACTAATCATCAACTTCAAGGTGAATTGCACTGTCAGCTCATTGTCTTCTCATCGGGTGAGACGAGCCCAAAAATTTATCAAATCCCTTATTTACTCAATATTCTCATTAAAATCTCTCAACATTCAATTCTCAATTCTTGCGGCTAAACTGTGGATATATGTCTCTATTTTTTTTTTAGAATAACATTAATTCATTTTCGAGAATGAAGATACTCATATTTATCATCTGCCAGAAAAATAGTTCAATTTATTCTCTTATCATTAACTGGGTAAATACGTTCGATCAATATTATTCCGTTATTCTTCCTCTCTTTCAGTTTTTGTACGACTACACGGAGTATGTAACACCGATTCATTATTTTCATTCACAGAAATTCTTCGTTAATCATTAATTAGCGATTGCAATTATTTTCGCGCATTTTCGAATGTCTTGATGAGGGCAAAAACAAATTAATTCTCTCTTCCATTGTGACTCGACCAGCGAGCCGTTCTGGGACACACGAAGTGATCATTAAAGCTAGGTATTTACGGTGAAAATACGATGGGATTTCAATCGCAACCGCGAACCGTTAAAGTACGTTTAGGCCGTAAATTTGAGTTTAATGATTTCTCTCATTTTTTTTTAACATCTCCTATAATTTCCAAACTCAACTTCCACATCGACCACGCTATCGTTAAAGTAATTAGTTATTACTTTCATACTCGCTGATTTATTTATAATTTTTTCAAGGGGAATAAATATCGAGGCGATTCGCAGAATTCATCGTTGCTTGAGGATACATTGACGAGATTATCGAAAAATATAGATTGAACCTCGTCATCGTGGCGATATTTTCTTGCATTTGTCGGAGACTCGATCGAATCCTTGTCTGGATCGATCAGGTGACGATTTTCATTTAGATGTCGATCGACTCTCCTTTGTTTTCGCGTTTTACTTTTTCCTGAACAATTTTTTAGACACTAACTTCTCAGTGCGGTTCGCATATTCTTGAGGATTCACGTACTGTTCTTTTAAATTCTCGTAAGGGAAAAATGGACCCCTTTACTGGTGCACTCACGACGTGGCTCGCAGAAATATTTTTTATTTTACAATAGGAAATTAAAGGATGGGAAATGGAGAGGATTTGGGATTCGGTAGATTCTCTTGTGATAATTTTAATAAATTCATGTTCATCTTCATCTTCATTGATGTTAAGTAGCCAAGAATATCAAGGGATGTTGGAGAAAATAAATAAAAATAAGATTTAGATAACTGTCATTTTCCGTAATTATTTTAGCTTCGCAAAATGACAATTAAATGAATGTTTTTATTTTCTCGAACATTCTTTGATATTCTTGGAAATTTTAATAAAATTGATGAGTGATTTTTATAATTTTTCCAATGCAATTTCCATTGACAACCGATTGTCCTTTATGAGTTCTTTCGATACTACTTTCACTTTTAATATTCTATAAAAATGTTCCTCCGGTTCTGATCACTTTCTGTTCAGATTAGTAAACATTCTAGTCTTTTCCACGGAGACTCTCAGGGCAATTTTAATTTCTTTACTGCATCGTTAAGATCATTTGTCTGTGGGTTTGATATTTTGCATTACTGGGATATCAAAGTTGGTATTGTCATCAATTAAGTGGCAAAATAGGATAAGTCATATTTGGGATTGTTTTTGATGAATTCTGATTGATTATTTTTTCAGAGAAAAATCAAATATGTTTACGTAAAGGTCTGGACAAAATTCCTCCAATCTCGTTCGGTTTTCTGAATATTTGTTAATTAAAAATTGATTCCCAAGTTCCATTGCGAATTTTAGCAGTGTCGATTGACAAATTATTTTGATTAAAATATAACAGAGCAATATAAAGGGGCAATATTTCCTGATAATTTTATTTGTTCATAAATTTGAATAAATACACTTGAAAAAAATGCCATTGGCATTCAAAATATTTTGCAATCTCCTCTTATTTTCTGGAGTTTTTAAAATTTTCTCAATTTTTTAAATGGTTAAATAAAGCATTTAACCAAAAATGATGTCAAAAAAAAAATTTGAAGGAAGAAACTACGATCGGAAAAATTATTTTGTGATCTATAAATTGCATTGACTTATCCTATTTTACCACTTCAATGCTGAATTATCATTTTTCTTTTTTTTCTCTCACTAATGATGAATATTTTTTTTCACCTTTCCCCACTTAAAATTTTACCACTCATAGTTAAGAAGCTAATCTACATCTACGATTTTATTAATGTATCTATTATATCCCATTCATCCACAAACGAAACTCGTGTAATGATTGTCATTCTGAAGGAAATATTTCTCAAAAAAATCGTCTCCAATGAACGAATAAATTACAGTAGTAATAGAGCCACGGATATTCAGCATATTTTTTATCAAGATATTATCTTGACAACCGACTCAGTCTCATCCTTGAGCAGCAGACTCAGTCTGAGATCGAGTTCACCAGCTTCTAGAGCCCATTTTTCCCTCAACCATCAGGGTGAATCAGCATTGTGAGTGCCTAGGGTGTGTATTGGAAATAGTGGATACCAACCAACTGACAACTTGGTCAGTGGCAGTAGTTCAAGATCAACTTCAGCACCACCGAGGCCCTGATTACTCTCGAAGCCCTGCTTCTTCTCCCAAAGCATCACTAGTAAATTTCTCCCCAGTGCATCGCAACTTCCGTATTTGAGGGTCTGCCTGTACTGGGGATTTCGTGAACGACGCACAACTCGAGTCTTCCTTTTGTGTAGCCAACGTTCACCGTCTCTCAGATATGTTTTTACGTAAGTGTCTGAAAGCAGATTTGATTAGAATAAAATTTGTTTTTTGGTTATTCTATTTTTAGAAATATTTTTGGTGGGTTTATGAAAGCGTTGGAAGCGAATTTCCCCATTATTCATTCGAGTAATTTTATGAAATATTTAATTTTGACATTCTCTTCTTATTCTTCTTCTTGTTAAATTTTGAAGATTAAGGATGAGTTTTCAACTTATAGACAGAGTTATCTTCTTCGTGTTGCTAAAAATTTCAATCGCGTCATTTACCTGTTTAACAATGTTTTTATTCAATGTTACAACTCATATTTAGATCAGAAAAAAACAGGTATATAACAAAATTAAATGACAAATATTTTTGTATTAAAAAAAAATTCATCTCCATCTCATTTCCATGATATTAATAATTATTATAATTAATTAATTCTAATTAATTGATTCTAATTATTAATAATTAATTCGCTTTTTATTCGTTGTGGATTTCAATTGCGTTCAATACTTGTCTTTTTGCGCGTAAAAAAAGCGCTTCATTCATTTACCTGGTTCTTCCCGTTCACCTGGACATATGTCTCGTGCGGTTATCACCTCAACCTCGAGTGTTCCCTTGCTGAGAAACAGGGCAAGTTGTACCTCACCATTTCCCATTGCTATGAAAAAGTTTGAGAAATATAATGAAGAAAAAATTTGTAAATGCTGCATTATAGTATATTTCAATAGAAGTGCGTAAAAGTGTTTTTCATTCCATTTCCCTCACCTCCAAGGAGTTTGACTCCTCTCGGTGCCACTTGTCCAGGACCCAACTTCAAATCCAAGCCATTTTCATTTTTCATCGACTGACTGGAGAATTTGATGACACCCCAGCATTTTCAATTTTTATGAAATGAATAAAATGAGTGAAATAAATCGTCATTTTTGTTCGTGCACTTTCGCAAAAATGCAGAGCGAAATTTGAGTGAAATTACCTCCACTTGTCATCCTCATCGGACTCACTATTTCTGTCATAAAATCGTTCAGGAAATCCCATCATCGTTTGTCCCATACTGTCCCTCCTCTCCCCCCGATTGATGCTGTCCCTTCGCTCATCTCGCCCTGCGATATTTCATTCACAAGATTATACGGATAAATCGCTCACTTTCATTTCATTCATCTCTGTTCTTACAATGACCAACTGTTGGACTCACAAAACCTCCCCCTTGAGCTCACAAATTCTTCTACATTACACTGAGAGAAAACCAAACACGTTGTCAAACAAATCTTGTTTGGGCCAACAAAATCGCTAGTTGAAAATTGCCAAAAAAGAATTTGTTTGGTTCGAAGTTGAAAGTCTCAAACATGAATAATTGTTCTGCTTTCGACAGCAACGAAATATTTGGCTCAAGAGGCGGATAATTCACACCAAACGGTGCCTTTTCAGGATGAACATATCTCATGTAGAGGAAATTTTATCAACAAATATTTTATCCCTAAGTTACAAAATTACTATCATATCATTATTATTGCTTCATTTAAGGGTTCATTTCTTATCTGTGATTATTAGACAACCGAAACGAAAAACTACTAGCCCTTGTTTCGCATAAAACAAGGATTTTTCGAGAGCAAAATACGTATGGGAGTATCGAATGACGAAGGAGTAGTGCTAGAAATGACATTTCTTGCGTGTACAGAGAATGCAATTTTTTTTTAACTACTAAATCTATTTTTGCGACAACATTTTTTCACTCCAGCGCAGTCTCTGCATATTTGGGACAAAAAAATCTTTTTTTGATCATTTTTAAAGAACTATTTTCTTGGAACAAGTAAGACTTGTTTGAGAACTTTGTCATTTTTCTCTCAGTGTATTTCTACTAATTCTTGTTATCGTGATCTTCGGAAGGAAGAATAATAGCGCGATGTGCTTGAAGTTTCAGTCAATCGAGTCGCTTCTTGTAGACTCTTGAGAAGTCGAGAAGTAAACGGTGTAAGCCATGGTCGGAGAAATTTTCTGAGTGTTTGATACAAAAAAAAAAAAACCATTGTTGCAAGTGTTCGTTTGTGTCTTACTTACGGTTCAAGGATATCCTTCTACAGAAAACAAAAAGGGGAAAAAATTCTCAAGATTTTCGGAGAACTTCCGCTGAATTTAACTTAGAGATGACAGTCGTAAGAGTACAAACGAACACAGTACCTCAAGTATACGGTTACATTCAGCGATAAGCGACAGTTTCTTCTTTCTCAACATGGCGTAAACCTAATTTCAAAGATTCAATAACTACCTGGCAATAGATCTGGGTGTAGTGTAAAAAAAAATTAAACAAAGATATTTTTCAGATCCTAAAGAATGGGTTTTTCTGACGATTATCCCCATGTTTTTCATAGATAATAGGGAAAACGGTTTTTACGATGTTCTTAAAAAACAAATCCGTGGTAGATACATAAATTATTAATACGGCGAATTTTTTATAAAATTTAATACTTCATAGTTATTTGATTCAAAAAGTTATTGATAAACTCAGTACCTTATGGGAATGCAATAAATCATTTAATAAGTTATTCAGATTTTTTTCTGAAAATCTATAAAGTTTACACGAAAAAATTTGACAGAAAAACCTCGCGAAGTCGCTAGACAATTCTGTTGGATTTTTATTGAATTTTCGATTACTTCTTCACCGATTCTATTAAAATGTTAAATCGAAAATATTCTCTAGAAAAAAAGCAATAGAATTCGGCTTTTCTATGAAACTTATTCTTATTTTATATAATTGAGATATTTTCTGCAGAATTTCCTCGGCTCAAATTTCCTAAATTTTTTGTTTGATTTTCTAGATAAAAAAAAAGAAAAATAGAATGAAAAAAAACTTCCAAAATTTGAGCCGAAGAAATTCTACAGAAAATATCTCAATAGAATAAGTTGTATAAAAAAATCTAATTCTTCTGACTTTTTCCACAGAATATTTTTTATTCATCTTCAAATCGAACAAAAAGTTTTAATAAAAGAAAGAAATTATTTAAATCGACTATTCAACTTGTCACATTCTACGAATTTAAACTAACAAATGATAGTGAATATTTGAATTATTCATTCGAAGTGAATCTTTTCAAAAAGGAATTTCTGACGTACTACGAATTTTTTCCATGATAATTTGACATTTCACGTAAAACTTCAGGGTGGCACGACCTGGGGCTGGAGCTTTTCCTCTTCCACTAATTTTGAAACTTCTTGAATCAACACCCACACCCTCTCCACTTTTTTCGCCTCCCCAACTCGGCCAGTATCCTTCTCAGGTACATCGCCAATGGCTCCACTACTTGTTCGACTTGCAAAGTCGTGAATTCAATTTATTCTCCTTCTCGTCTCACTCAAAACTATGCCAATTTTCAAGTGACCTCGCTTGTTTAACGAAAAAAGAGAAGAGGAATGGGGCCATCTTCTCCATCTACTTAATTATTATTTTTTGATGGCCTCTTCTACTCTATAGTTTCGTTTCCCACCTTTTTACGAGGCTAGCCTCCTCCCCATATCCGCCGACCACCCATAATTTATATCCACAAAGTACACAAGGCTAGGCCACTGGCAATATCGTGTTCCAGATAAACTTGTACCAAGCACTATTTGCATTTTTCGTATCAAACTGTATTTCAGCGGAGGAGGAAAAAAAAAACAAGTATCAAACAGCCTTCAACCTTCAGGAAACTATCTCGTCCGTTTTTCTTTAGTTGATGATACACTGATAGAAAAATTTGAATTCATTTTTCGGAAAAAGACTTTGAATTCGATTTAAGGATATCCATGTACTTTGGCTATTTTATTTCCGGTGAAATGACTTTCTACTTTTGCAGTCGATTTTATTATTCATATTTTGCAGGTTTAAATTTGAATCTCAATATTGAATCGTTAGAAAACATTTTTTAAATCTAAAAAAAATTAGAATGTTTACTTTTGAAGGAAATAATTGGAAAATTGCAATTTTTGGAAATTGTTAGCATTTTTTATAAATAATTTATGAACAATCAACTTTCTAGCATAAAAATTGTGTGTTCGGAATGGCAACAAATTTATTCATATTCTGAATTTTACCAGAAATTGATTTCATGCATAAAAAAATGAGGTTTCCGAAAGTTTAAACAATTTCAATGATTTATTTATAAATAACGAATGTTTAAAAAAATAATAATTCTGTGCAGAATTGAATTTGAATGACGCAGAATATTCATGATATTTTTTCAAATTCTTCTCACGTAATTTAATTGACAAATTTGATGCTTGAAAATTGTTGAATCTATAGTGTGGTATGTACCAAACTAAAAGTTACTTGGATATCTTTAAAAAAAATTGGCTGAATGTTTCGGCTTTTCAATTTCATGCGAAAACATCAATGGAACTTTAAGTTTGCAAGAAATGGTACAATTCACAGGAATTCTCAAACAAAAATGAATATTCACTGACAAATTCCCTCGAATATTGCCTTTAAATGTAAATTAGGTTTAGCAAACCGTTAATTACCCTTAGAAAAACGTAATTTATGTTTAGGTTTTTTGCGTGCAATAATTCCCCGAGCAATCATCAATTCTGTCAAGTTGTCGAGCAAGAAAGGTTCCTGTGCTCCGAATCCCGAGCCAAATTCACAAGTTAATAGTGCTCATAGTGTCTTTTCCAACATTCCCTGTGTTCTTCATCTTAATTACTTATTTATCATTGGATAATAATAATAATTATTTATTTATTTAGAAATCTATTCATTATCTCGGCCACGTTCATTACCAGTAAATATAATAAGTGAGAATCTTGAAAACATATAATAGTATAATAGTATATCGTAAGGAGCAAGAATCCAATGTCCACTACTACTTTCCATGCGAGCATCTACTACTTCCATCATCATACGCAAGCCTCTAGAAGTTGCTAATTCATAACACTGTCATTGTAGTTGAAAAATTGTGTCAATTACTACAGTCAATTCAGTATCAAAGGAGAAACGTTTATTCAGTTTTTAACATTAGTTTTGGGATAAATAGAGGGGCTGAGGTGGTAGCAATGAAACAACGAGTCTGACAGACTTTCATTGCACAAGTGCATGGGGATACTATATCCCAGGGACTACGCAATATTTTATCACAACTACTGGGAACAGGAGCAAAGGGGATTTTGCCATAGTTTGGAGACAGGATTTCTAAAATACGTCCGCAAGTTTTGGTTTCAACTCGTGTGATTCAACATCCCACGCTAAGAATACACAACATAAAATAGTTTCAATTGAATTCAGTGATGAAGGGGTGAAACGTAGCAAATCGTGGCAATTTAACGTTTTGCGGTCTTTTTTATATTAAATTACTCTAACGATGAATGATTTCAGAAAATATTGCTCGAAGATTTTTTTGGATTGGTTCTGCTTTCATTTGAGAACAACCCGTCATAAATAAGCACTCAAAAAAAGGATTGAAATAATAAACTGCAATAAATATGGCTTTTTTTTCGAAATTTAGTAATGGATTTTCAATTTTTGGACATTTTTTTGCGACATAGTCATCTAAATAGCAATGACAATGTCAAACTACTCAAATTATTTAAAAAATATGATCTTTTGTCGTGTTGAATCGATTTACTTGTGGACAAAAAAAAATTTCCACCACAACATGATAATTTTCGTAGTAGTAATGGTTCTCGTGAGACATTTATGTCTTTCGGGTAAATACATTCGTTCTACAAAGAATTATATGAGGCTCCCGTTTTATCAAGTGAATTTTATTGAGTAGTAGTTTAACAAATGATAATTTCAAGAGGAAACTACAATTTTCTTGGTGACAACTGTGTTATTGGCAAAACTAAATAATTTCGAGGGAACAATTTTTTTTTAGCGAAAAAATATTCTTTCACCGTCAATGTATTCTTTCTACGGTATAAACCTATGGAGTTCTCTCAGATCAAATGATTGTCGTACAATAGATTATATTTTTTCCCGCCAACAGTTGGAATTCTTCTACGGATATTTCTGATGATCACGACAAAAATTCATTTTTTGCGAAAAGTATTAAATTTCCTCCTGTCAAGCTGGTTAATTTCCCTCAAGTAAATCTGTTTTACTTCATCAAATATTCACAGGTGGTACATAACTTTTCAGCAGAACTAATTTTTTCTCTCTGTGCACGGAGAAAAATTCCGCATTCGATGAAGTTTCCGGGGATTTCTGTGAAAATTTCATATGAGAACGGGAGAATTTCACGTGCCACTCAATTAAATTTCTCTCCGTGTGTAAATCATGGTTCTGATATCATTCATTCGCTCAAAAATCCAACATTACAAAAAAAAAAATTTTGCCTGTCACGTTCCACCACTTCACTTCTGAATTTTTTGAAACGATAGACAGGACCAGAGGATGGGAATGAATTTCTCGGATACCATAATGGATAAGGGCACATCGGGACGGAGGTGAGGGTTACTTCAACGTTTTTTTTTCTCGTGAAAACAAAAAAAAAATTGTCAACATAGTCAGAGAGAAAGAAATACAGAGGAGTGAGACAGAGAGTGGTCTTACCAGTGCCCTCAATCGTTGGACGACATTGCCTTGCGTTTATTATCGGGGTGGTGTGGAGTGCGGTAGTGATAGGGAGGCCGAATTACCGGTCCTCGGAGACACAGGCTCGCACTGCCACACAGTAACTGTTGGGACTATGCACTCTGGTTGATCGGGCCCGGTTATTCACGGATTGCCCGATATTTGAACATAGGTTGGTGATGTGGTTGGTGGTTGTGGTGATGGGGTGTTATTTTTTTTTTATAATTATCATTTTTTTTGTGGTTTGTGGTGATCATGTCGATTGAGTGGTCGAGGTTGGCCGATTTCATTTATTCATATATTTTTAATCCATCGGCATTCCGACCGAGCGAACGTCACATTAGTAGATATTTTTTCGTTATTGCGAATATCGTTCACAAGGCAGCCGGAAAGAAAAATTAAACATGAGAATCATCTAAATTTCAATTTCATGTGAAATTCAGTAATTAAGTGGTAAAACGAGATACGCCAATTCTGGTTGGACTTGAGTTTTTGATGATTATCTTTGAATCCAAGACTGATATTCAAATATTTATCCGTATTTTCTATCGCAGCTGCAATTCAGCGGCTAAAGGGTAAAGCAATTCAAGTCAATTTCGATTATTGGTCAGTTTTCCGGGAATATCTCGGAATCTAAGGCCGATAGCAAAATTTTTATTATCACCTTTTTTGTAGCTCTCAATTCTCTCTACAAAAAAGATTATTACGAAAATTTCGGTATCTCCTGTAGATTCGGAGATATTCCCCAAAAACGCGTGGCTACTGAATTTATGTTTTAAAAAATCATCACAAAAACTTTGCCCTGTTCCTCAGTTTCAAAGATGTTCTTGGAATACACAAATTAATAAATAAAGAAGTCAAAATCATCCTGAAGTGAAGTTGACTCATCTAGTTCTATCACTTTGCTACTGACTTGTCATTTATCATTTATTTTTATTTATATTCAACATCAAAATGGGCATGGTTGCGGTAGCACAGTAAACAGTCACAGAGGGAAAAATGTCATTACGTAGTGAGGATGATGATGTTATTGAAATTGTATCGATTGATTTTTTCCCTAGTTTTACAACTCTTGAACTTTGTTAGATTACGAATGAGGTATAATGGGTGGAAATGGATTTTCACAATGAAAAAATTCGAGAGAGTGTGAGGGGGCGGCTGAGGTCGGCAACTGCCCTGGAGTTTTTATCTTCATCATAACTCCACATTCATTACGATAATGTTCACCTTATGACTCCCTCAGGCGCTAAATCTTCAATGAAATGATAACTTATCTTCAAAGTTTTTCGCTAGTCTATTGTATTTTGCATGAGTAAGTTTTGCTGATGGCTTTTGGTGTTTTCATAATGACATTTATCACTCTGTGCAGATGAACATTGCGCTTATCAATATTTCTTCAGTAACAGAACAAAACGCAAAGTTTTTCAGCCAATGATATTTTCAAGATGTTCCACGGAGGAGTTTAGTAATTTCAACACTGACACGATTAAAGCGTGTGGATTTTGGTGGATTACCTCCAGTTGAAATTTTGGCTGGCATTGGACGGGTTTACACTGAGTCATACACAATGGTTAAACATTGAGCCTGGAGCACGAACAATTCCATCGGAAACTCCGACTGGTTAATCGTTTGATAAACTTTTTTGAATATCAATCTATCGAATAAAATTGTCCGTAGACAATGTGGAAATTATTAATTGATAGGATCCGATGGGTAAATTATCCGTTCGCTCGGTCAAAGCACCTCAGGGTTGAAGGGTTTGAAGCACATATGGGGGCTCAATTTTACATGAAATAAAAACTGATAGTGAATGGCCTAAAACTCATGAAAATCAAAAATTGAAAGATACAAAGGAAATAGAATAGGGATGATAGTACAGTCGACTTTTCAGTTATACCCCGACTGTCCGAGTCTCATCTCATTCAACAGTCGCCTCATCCACTCAATTCCACTTTAATTCCAGGTGTCGACATAAATTCGAAAGATGAAAGTTAATATCAAAGTAAACAGAAATACAATGAATTCTATACATCCATTCGTACCACCAAGGACATTCGTGATAGATAAATAGATAGATAGAGAGAAAGGTAAAAAATCGTTGGTGAATATCGTGGAGAGATGTAAAACTAGATGCGGCAGGCAGTACAATAGGTTAATGCACCTGATAGACGCGTGAAACGTGACTATGAGGACGATGAATGATTGACGTTTCCCCTCACGTGAATATGAATGGAGTCTGTGGATGTTGGTGAAAGGTAGAATGCATCACACTTGGGTGTGAGATGAGGGTGGAATGTTGATGATATTGGTTAGAACAGCATGAAGATGGGTATTTGGCAGTGGCTTTTCAAAATGAATCTAGCTTGTGCTGTACAAAGGTATTGATTCATTGACTCTATGAACGTTATTCCATGGTCAATGTGCACATACCATTAATGCTATGGTGATAAGTGACAGCGATTGAGAGACATCAGTGTGAAACGATATATAAAGAGATTAAATTGAATACAGAAAATATTTGGGGGGTAAAAATGTTGAACATAAATTGAGAGCTGAGCGAAAACATACAACAGGTATTATGATGATATTTAGTTTGTCTTTTGGGTATCTTATTCATGACATTGTATTGTTATTAAAATTACTCACGGCTGCCGCGTCTTTTTTCATTGGATAAACTCATTGTTCTTCCAAGTTCACCTCTTGCTGCTATTTTCTGAAGTGATTTTAACACCTCCTCATGATTTCTCGCTGTTCTTGCCACTGAACTGCGTCGTCTGTCACGACTGTAGTAAACAGGTGGTGTGTCGGTGTCACCAATACTGCCCCCTGTAAATTCAAATTAATTCTCAGTTAATTTTTATTGAAAATACGAGGTGAGGTGGAGCGAACAAAACATGAGGATTTAGTGGAAGAACGTGTTGTCATTGTTTATTAACTCGATTCCCATGGTCCTTGACGGGCTGAATCGAGAATAGGTCAGGGATTCCAGTGGGTGAAGGTTGTTATTTTATCTTTTTCACGGGTTTTCGCTTACCAATGTGAATTTGGTAATTGTGAGTGAGCTCCATTTTGTTTTTGCGTGTGTTGCCAGTAATACCTCAATTGTTTTGGAACAATAATTGTTTTTTTAAAGAACAAGATTGATTTCTGATGATTGATTGATTGGCCAATTGTGGAGTTGAATGTACTTACGTTTACTGTCAGTCCCTCCCTGGCTCTGAAAACTACTTCTACGACTGCCAGGCAATGATCTACTGTAGTCTTTGCTCAACTCGTAAGGCTCAATCTCGAGCTGCTCGGATTGAGATGAGCCGCGTCTTGAGTTTGCCTGCCAAGCATGGTCGGGATGGAGGAAATAGGGCTCAGGACTGCCGCTCTCACTCTGCGTCTGGGTGTCGTCGCTGTAGCTTCTTTCGCGTACATCACGGCGGAGCAATCTCTGGGCTATCATTGATACCTCAGCTGATACTGATCCCCGGGGTGAAGCATATGGGGATTTTCCAGAACGCCAGCCCCTCGGGTCTTCCAATCTGTACCTGTTTGTCGTGAGAATGAATAGAGTGAGTCGCGGTAAAAATTGATAAAAATGCCTCTACCCCGGGTGACTTCTCATTCCACATTCGAATCTTCTTCTTTGAGAAAATATTGAGCAAGCAAAACCGCCGTGCGAATGTCAGCAGACGTCACAGAATCACTGAATTGCGATGTCTGTTATATCGATCTCAATATCAATTTGTGATGTACATCCGTTTCAGTGTATCCCAATAATTCAACCCCCCTTGACTACTTGGAATGAGCAATCTACAGTTTCCAAACTGAAATGCATTTCAACCCAAAGAAATCCTCACCAAATAGCCCGGTCAGCTTCGATGGCATTCTCCAGATTCACAACGCATTCGCCGAGGAAAACATTTTCACCGTCCGCCTGGAAGTCCCACAGAGTCACTTCGATGGTTCTTTCAATAAGTTTCTCACCCGCAATACCCGGAAATGTCAAATTGGCATTCCATATTGGATTCTGAGCTCGCTCAGCAACATCTGTCTGCAGACTGCTCTTCTCACCGCTTGCAGGAAGATTGAAAAATAATGGTGATAATGAGAAAATTGTTTGGCGATCGGAATTCATTTCGAGTACACTGATAGACTGACTCATTTATTTCAAACTAGATTCGTTAACTATTAGCGAATGGTGGAGTTGAAAGGTGAGAATCGAGTCAAACAAGGCCCCTCAAATGTGCATTTGGTAACTATTAACGAATGAACATTTGATGAGACCGAATAGACCCTCGTCTCCAACGAAATCCATTCGTTAACAATAACTAATCTTTTCTATCAGTGTAGAGTTGTAGGAGTCATTACCATGGTGGCAAGAGCACCAGTTTGGCGAATGCCTCGGGTGGTGAGCTGTCCTCGCGAGGGCAGAGCTCATCACCACCGAGCACAGACACCACTAATTCCTTGGTGTCCACCTCGTACCAGACTTGTATCTGTATCCTGCCGGTTACTTGACGTTCCTTAGCTATTTGCTCCTACAAAATTTTTGACATGTCGGTTATAAGGTGCGATGACGCCACAGCTGGATTGTACACGGGAAAAAAGTTGGAGAAAAATTAGCGAACAAGTCGAGGAATTCATTTCTGGGTCTTTTATTTGAATAGGGGCGAAAAGTGCGAGATGAATAGTAAATTTTTTTCCGCTGACGCGGGAAAATTTACTGTAAAAATCGTTATTTGTACCGAAACGGTAAAATTTACCATTTATTACAGCAAAAACTATCCCATGAACGTAAATAATTGCTGAATATTGCTTAATCATTATTTTTGAGAATGATTTTTGTCACTAGAATTATTTTTTTATAAATTTTTTTTTTTTTTATTAAATACAGAATGGAAAAATTTCACTGTGCAGGGAACTGTAATTTTTGCATCCATGTATTTTTTTATGAGCAAATCGTAAGTCATCCACAAATTTTTTTTTCTGAATATCAATTTCGCTGGATGGTTACCCGTATAGTAAAATTTGCTGCGATTTTCTAGATTATTTTTATCCAACTTTCCTCCCGTGTATTTCACGAAAAACAAATTGAAATATTATCATAAATTTTGATTCATCATGTACTAGTAGTATTCCAGACAATTACTCGAATTTCGATTTTTTGAATGACTGAATATATTTAATTATTTTAACTTCTAAAACTGAATTGAAAAATCGAATTTAATAGTGAAGGGACAACAGTTCAAATCAATTTTGACCACTGGTCAGTTTTCAATAAATATCTCGGAATCTAAGGCAAATAGAAAAATTTTTCTCATAATCTTTTTTGCAGCTCTTAATTCGCTTTACAAAAAAGTTATTTAAAAAATTTCGCTATCTCCCTCAGATTCGGAGATATTCCTCGAAAGCTCAGCTAAGAATTAAGTCGACTTGAATCGTTTTACCGCTTTGCTACTGAAACTATTCTCATTCTATCTAAAGTGAATATCGAAACATTTTACTGTTTCAATATCACATGATACTCATTCGGTTTTTTCATTCCGTTTTTGTTTTGGCTTGGAAATATTTATTATTCATAAAATATTGCTCTGTTTCGAATTTTTATCAGTTGAAAAAACAACTATTTTAATGAATTCTCCAACATTTTTCGTATTCACTATGGCCATTGCTCCTTAATATTTCAATTAGTTCTTCAAATAATATCTGAATAAAACGAAACATCGATTTTTTTCTCTATTACTATAACAAAATCCTGACCACGAACGCAAGAGTAAAGCGTGCCTTTCCCCTTTCATTCTATTAAATTCTAAAACTATCTCTCAGTGATGTATTGATCTTGGACTCTCAAAAGTTGGCATGGATGAAACCATGAAATTTACGTTAAAGTTAACACTGGAATGTCGAGGAGGGAGTGCTTTACCCATGCACCTGTAGCCGATCTTAATATCGAAAGAAATAGAAGAAATAGTGGAAATGAAAGGGAGAAAATATAAGTTAAAATGAATAAAATTTTATTCGAATAATTGAACAGAAGAGTCATAAGAGGAGTCTAGGATGCACTTGACATGCTGAGCAAATATGCAACACAGAGGATTTATTTGTTATTTTTCGTCCATTTTTAAGCTGTATCGGCGCCTACGCTACGTGACCAATGACTCCAGGCGGAAAAATGATAACGATAAGGCACATGAATGAGAGAATGACAGAGAAATTAATAATGAGAACGAATGAAGAAGTGAGCGTTAGCTATTCCTTCAAGAATGCCATATCTGGGCAGTAAAAATTCATCTTTAGAATTTTTTATCATTCAGTAATAATTCATAATTATGTCGCGCCTCACTAATCGCTTCTTCCACAGTTTGATAATTTTCACACACCCTTTTTTCTCATATTACCGCCCTCTGGGGTGTGCGAAAACGAACAAACGAGTGAGAGCGAGGGAAGAAATTTCATTTCCCCCCTGGAAAAATTGCATTTCCATTGGTTTCATTGAGAAATCAACAATTTGATAGGAGAAAAGAAAAGAAGTTTCAGTTGGACCGTACGCCTTCTCACTGTTAAATTATTCCATGAAAATTCGGAAAAATTCAAAATTCATGGCATTTTGTGCAGACACTAAATGGTATAACCCTTTTTTCATCACTGAAATTTGTTGATAGATGCCTGAAAATGAGAGATTTATCCCTGGAAATCCGCGACATTACTCTGAAAATTAGTGACGATGTCATTAAAAATTGGTCACAAAATCACTGAATTGTAACGAAAGAATTAATGAATTTTAATTGAATTTTCCAATCACTAAAATTCACAATCGCGAATCCCTTGAAATAAATTCCTAAAAATCAGTGACATGTCTCAAAAAATTGAAACTTTTTTTCCCAGTCTATGTAGCAAGCAAATAGTGAACTAAGTGGAGGATATTACACCTTGATTTAGAGTGAGAAAGAGTTGGAAAATGGTTGATGTTGAAATTTGAAAGGAGACATATCAATACCTGGAGATGACAGTGATAAATATACAAAATATAGAAAATATTGCATACAGTGCAGGCGTTTTTCACGTATTTTTTATCAATAGCAATTGTATGGGTCGTGTATTTTTAACATGATGAAATTAGACCAGGCAGAGTACTCCGAGGGCCAAGCGCCGTACTAATTCTCAATATTCTGCATCGACTCAACTCTTGCGAAAATTCCATGATGAGACTTTCGATGTGGTTTTTCCTCGGAAAGTGAATTTTCTCAATTTTCAAATGTAATAGTACTCTTTCAGTGCTAAATATGATATGATAATCTTCGCTAACTTTCTGAATACTCCATTACTAAAGCTCGACGCGTTTCAAGATTCCAATTTTATTAAAATGAAAAATAGATCGCGTCACGAATAGAGATGTGAAGATAACCGTCATTTTTTTCGTCATATGACAAATTTATGATCGTCATGTGAGGTCATATTTTTCGGTTATAATTCGAGTAGTTTGACATTGTCACTGCTATTTGGATGGAATATGGTGGGTCACATAAATTTTGTGTCACAAAAAATGTCATAATTTGAGCAGCTGTCATCAAATTTTGAGTAACTCGAGATTATTATTGCTATTTAGAAAGAATATAGTTATATTAAATCTAAGTCACAAAAAATGTCATAAAATTGAGCAGCTGTCGTAAAATTTGGAGTAGCTCGACATTATCACTGCTATTAGAAAGAATGTGGCGACCACATTGAATCCAAGTCACAAAAAATGTCATAAAATTGGGAAGCCATTATGAAATTTCGAAAAATATGACATTTTTATTGCTATTTAAATGGAATACGATAATCCAATAAGATTTGTGTCCGCAAAAATGTCATGAAATTGGACAGCTGTCATAAAACTTTGAGTAGCTCGACATTATTACTGCATTTCAGATGGAAAATGACGGTCACGTAGAATTTGTATCCCAAAATACCTCATAAAATTGAGGGGTGACCATGATCAATTTAATTAGACATAAACATAAACCGTCAATGCCGTCATAATTTCGTCATGTGACAAAAATTCTCGTTCCTCGTATCCGCCATGTGACGGTCATATGACGTGTCACAAAATTTTTTGCATCACACGGAGAGAAATTTTTTAGAAAAATTCTAGCTCTAGCACGGGAAAATAGGCGCAATGTGACGGCCAAGAAAAAATTCCAGTGCTGGCACTAGAAATTTTATTGGGGAAAACGTGAATTTTTCCCCGTATTTCTGTGAAAATTTTACAGAGATCCCCAGAAATTTTACCTTAACAGCACTAGAATTTTTCACAGCCGGCAGATTGTAATTTTTTCCAGTACTCGTAATAGAATTTTTCTAGAAAATTTCTCTCCGTGCATCCGTAACCGCAAACCCGCAGCAAGAGGAATGACGTAGAGCTCAAATGGAAAAGAAAATGTGGTCACTTGGTCTTGGAGCACAGCGCACGGTTATATATTTTTAATACATTCTCATTATGTGCACACTCTACTGCTTGCTTATTCACACGCACACGCATTCTAACGATTTGGGTGCAACTCGAAAAATTGACAAATGATTTATATTCCGTAATAACAAATTGATAGTTTGTAATCTAATACATACTATTGACGCATTCCACCAATAATTTTTGTCAATTTTCAAAGTTGGCCAGTTTTTGAAATTCGAAATATATAAACCACAAAGTTGCTGTGAGACATTCGCCAAGGAATCATCCAGATATTTAAATGATCAATAATAAAACCAATAAAATTAGCGTAGTGAAGTGGTAGAATGTTAGAGAACGGAACAATGTGGTTTTTCAAATCTATTTTAAAATTCAAATTATTTTTATGAAAAGTGATTTAGAAGTGAATTTCAGGAAACATTTTCCCACTGGTGAAAGTTTTTGAATTTTTACTTCTCTGAAATTTTTATCACATAATAATTTCACTGACATTTCAAGAAATTGTCTCATTGAAAATTCGAAATTTCATGGAAAAATCAGTGGAAACTGTGAATTTCAATTCAATCATTTCATCAAAATTAATAGAAATCAGAGAAATTCAGCCTAATTTGATACTGACTATTCACGTTTGATAAAAAATTTAAAAAGTTCAGGAACTCTCATTTTTCCGCTGCTTGAAAATTTATAATTCATTGGATTTTCACAAAAATCTGAAAATTTACGATTTTTCTCTCCCCAAATCGGCTTCCATATCAGTCTCCCGAAAATTACTCTCCAATCACTCAACTCTCCATGAAATTTCAATTTTTTTTTCAAATGCAATTGATAAAATCCCTCAAACAACAAAGTTCCCTCGACAATTTATTTTCCAAAGTCACTCATTCAGATTAAAACTGAATGCACGGCGAGAAAAAATACCGGAAAAATTACTGTGCAGTTGGTACAAAGTTCTCCCCCAGCGCCGAATATTTTTCTGTGCAGTTCAATAATTTTTCACGCACTTGACAAAAAATCACTGTATCGCACCAAAATTTCCGGCGCTAGAGGTCAAACTTTTTCTCCCTAGGGAGAAAAACCCCTTTTACCATGCATCATAGTAATTTTACCCTCAGTACATTACCCCTGCAACAAAAAGAATTTTTAATTCACTCATCACATTGAACTACTTCACTACTGGAATAATAATTAAAAAAATGAAAACGAAAATTAAACGTTCAAATTGAGGGAAAAATACTAATAAAAACACTATAGTCGTGCCAGTTGGGAGAGAGTAGCGTGAGGGCCATGTTTTATGCTAAACTTGTTGGTTATCATATAGCCATAACTTACATTTTACACTTTCGTCATTTTCGTCGGCGATAGTTACGTTTGTTTCGATACATTTTTTTGTATTTCTTACACGGGGACACAGAGACGAGTATAATATATGAATAAATCGAAAAATGGAGGGTGGAGGAGGCCTCGGAGGAGGATTAGGAGGAGGGCATATACAGTTAAACGAGGGATGAGAACACAGACACAAATAACACTGCAATTTGAAAAAAAAAAAAATAGTGGAGAAGGGACAGTAGAGACGGGAGTGCGAATGATAGCGAGAAAATCTTCTCTTTTTTGTTCTTGCGACATAGACAGGAGTTGGGGCTGGAGCAGGTATCATTATCCAGAGTGAAGTAAATGATGAGAGAGGGAAATCAAATGGCGAAGAAAAGTGAGTTACCAGAGTGCGAGAACAATCCAGAGACGCAGGGATAGACAGAGTGAGAGATAGAGAGAGAGAGAGAAAGAGAGAGACAGAGAAAGAGAATAGAAATAGAAAAAAACAAATGTTGGATTTTGAGGATATCCGAAAGAGAAAATCCCTGCAATGAAGCAAATTATGAAAAATTATATTTTCAGGCTATGGAGAGTAAATAATTCCATTCAACTGTAAATTATCAAGTCTAAAATATTACATTTTCCAAAAAATTCAGTTCAGTAAACTTCTTTTCAGTCATAGTTTTCATCCTATTTTAATTTACAGTGGATATGCCCTAAGATTTCGGCTTCGGGGGAACGAATTTCACGAATTTAAATCATCGGGAACGACTTTTGTCATTGTTTATTTAAAAAATAGTAGTAGTTCTAATTTTTTTTCAATGGAAAAAGTTTCTTCGCCATTTTTCATGTTCTCTCGACAAAAAAGCATTCTTGTACTATTCTCATAAGATGCATAATTAGGAAGTTATAAATTTTCAAAGTCAAGTTTTGTTGCTCCGCCCAATTTTCCAATTGTTATTTTAACTCACACAAAAGAAAATCTAATTTTTTAAATGTGAGTCTACTCTATTTTCATTAAAAGATTTAAAAAAAATTTCATCCATTAAAATAGGGTGGAATACCCCAGAGAGAATCCTGTTCCAATCCTCTCTTACCGCGAGTGGCCCTACTACGCACTCCTATCGCGCAGAGGAGCCCACACGCTTACATTGTCAATGGTGGGGGGAGTCAACTTCCCCAACTGACATCTTAGAGAAGCTAAATTACAGGGAGTATCCACTGTATTTGAGAAAAATTGAATAGGATGAAAAAGGTGATTTGAAAAATCGTTCATCAACAGATTTGACTCGAAAATATTTTTTTTATTTAAAAAATGAAAAAAATTCTATGCAGAAAGTATCCCACCAGAATATCCTCATGAGAAACTCTGGATACATAAGAAAATTACTTTGTGGTCCTTCGGACCTGATATTTTTGCATCACTTTTCTCACTCTTCCACGTTTTTTTTTCATTGCATTTTACTGTCATGTTTTTGTTTATAATTTTTTGGATCTTTATTCTCAACTTACATTCAGTTTTACACATCGAATTTTAGAATTTCCTCGTGTATTCTTTCATTATTCCATTTTCAGTTTGAGTCACAACCAGCCTAAAATGGGCTAAAGCCTAGACACGTTTGATTGATTTTCAAGAAGTTGATTAAAATAATTTTTTTTTTATTCCTGCTGTTTTCTTCATTTTTCATCGATCGTAAGGAAAGTTTTTGTAAATGTTCTGTTATTAATCACACTGGATATGTGGTTTACAAGAGTTGGACGGGCTTCCATTGCTTGATAATGAAAATGGCTGTTACTGACCTTGGTCAATGGAACGCCGTCGTCGCGTGTTCCTGACAGTCTCAGAATTCGGGGGATCGTTTATGTTTCAATAAATATTGCTTTTAAATTCATTAAAAAATATATGCTACTTGTACACATACATGAAAACATTGATTTCATTATTTATTTGATACTGATTAGGATTATTAGGCGTTGCCATGGAGTAGGGGCCGTTGTTTTTTATTAATCTCGTATGCTTCTGGGATTTTTTATTAATCATTTGAAGAACGCAACTCACCCCAACTGACACTCATTCGGTTTTTTCTTGATGCATTTTTTTTCTCTTTCGGAAATAAGGGAAACAATAAATTATCCTTCGATTGTATGTCTGGATTTGTGTGTGACTTCACTTGAGTACAGTCGACTCTCCTTGGCTCTCCTCTCCTCTAGCTTTCCGGGCGTCACCGAGCGAGGAGAATATCGCCCCCCCCCCACGTCTGGCATCACGCACGGGAGACGGCCCCAGAGGGGAAGTGTTTTTCAGGAGATGGTGAGAGCTATAGCGTTCTCGTTCGACTAGTCGCGGTGTCTCTACCGTAAGACACGCCCCTTGTGCGTGGGGAAGTGGTAGCCTCTAGCTTTTCGTTCGCCGTGTCTCGAGCCCCGAAAGCGGAGAGCGAGGCAGAATCGACTGTACTTGAAGACAGCATATGAATACTGAAAACATCATTCCATCTGTGGGGATATATTCGTCTCACGTACTCATGTCAAGTGCAGCATGTACACAATAACGTACACATGGTGAGATGAGGGAATAAAAGATGGATTTATTATAAACCATAAAGCACTCTAGAACATTGGAATAATGAAACTGAAATAATGTAGATGAAATCAGTGGCATAAATGTGGTTTATCGAGTCTCAGGATAATTGACACTAAAAGCTTTATGTGTCTTGAATTAATGACGATCAAATAATCGTTTTTTTTTCATAATTCGTCTCTTTTCTTTACTTGGGATTGATATTTTCCGAAGGAAGGAATCCCCGCGTTCCTGTTGAATAAATATCCGAAAAAATTTATTCAACAATAAAAAATGAAAAATAAATTACGGGAATGCCAACGGTTTTATCTAACTTTCTCCGTCGATTCCACAACACCACATAAAAAATTAGAATAAAAAAAGCCCGATTGAAACTCGTTTAATGAACCCTGCACCGATGACTATTGTTTCCCTCATACAAGATAATTATCTATATCAAAACATCGAATTTTAGTAGACACCGAATGAAAGATATTGAATGTTCGTTTTATCTCTATCTTAAATTATCCAGCTATTTATATTCATTACGTTCTGCCCATGCCACCGTCATTCCACAGACGATCAAACTCGAAGCGCATATTGGCATTCGGCACCGGATATTTTCATTCTCCATTCCGCCATCAATAGCTCAGCCTTAATGAAGTCATCCCATTTACATCTTTTCCATTAGCCACAAACACTTCTATTTATTTGTTTAATCTTTGTTCAATTGATAGAATAATAATCGCACACGACGATAGAGCATGTTCACACGGAGGTGCAAAAACTACTGTTGATTGTACGTGAGCATTTTATGTTTTAGGTACGTTACCCATTTTTTAAAAAAATCAAAACTCCCTGCTAAACTCTTATAATTCACGGACCTAAACAAATTGAATATAGCTTCGATTTGTCACATTTTAATTAGAATCTCTTCACCTTTTTTCTCTCTATGGACCCCCTTGAGTCTTTCCGACGCCGACGCGTGCGGTATCACAGCGAAACGGGGAGTAAAATTCATATAAAAAAACCCATTCAACTCAACATCTAAATTAAAATGAAAAATAATGTGTTTCAATGCATGACAAAGAATCGGTGCCGTACAGGTAAAAAGTGATTATTGTGCGAGACAGTTTGACACACTGTGACGAGCGAAGACAGGTAATAACTTGAGGAGTTGATTGTTATCGTATCACACACACACACACACAGATTTGGACGTCAACTATTCCCACGAAAAATATGCGAATAGCCGTAGCCCCCCAGTATTATGTATTTATCCACTATTTTTAACCATTAAATTTAGTATGTTGTACATGCACAATGGATATTTACACCGTCGCTTCGATCGTTAAAATTCATTCAATAGTGTCAACGCTATTGAATATTCATTATCAATGAAAAATGTAAAATTAAATTATGCGAGTGTTTACAGAGTTTGAAAAATAGTCAGTATACAATCCACTGGTACAATATTTTCACACACATTTGGAAGAGACAACGCGGGTAACAAACAAAACATTGGCAACATACATATTGGCGACACAATTGAAATATTCCGTCATTGATTCAATGATTTTATCATTGTCCTTCAATTAATCCCTGCCATGTTTATCTTACAGATATTGAATGAAGTTCATATTGACTATATACAAAAATCATACATTTATCGTTCTGTCCTTTACTCTCGAATTTATTTCAAAACATGTTTTGTCAATTCTGGGATTGTTATTGTAAAGTCATTTTGGGGCTGACTTTGTTTTCGTAATTTCTTTGAATTATCATTGTACGTTGTCCATATAAGAGCGATAGCGGGAGTAAAATATCAACGTAAAGTGGGTGAGTAAATAAAGTGAAGTGTGAGTAGTCTGATAGGGGTGAGAGATACATGAGAAAAGAAGAAATTGGAAAGAAAAGATAGAGAGAGAGAGAGGTGACACGTGTAGGCTCAATTTATTAACTCGTTATACCGGCGTCTTTGGCAGTTTCCTGCGAGTTGGCGATGACGGTGTTTTGTCCGTTTCCGTGTCTGGAAAATTAACCATGTATTGATGATTTTCAGAGCTGAGGTTCGGTGGGGGAGAATTAATTGTTTGCATGGGGATACGTCTGTGGTTTTATTTTGAGGGGGAAATTATGGAAACCAGTGACAGTTGCCTGAGAACCAAAAAAAATTTTTTTTGCTAAAAAATCCAAAAAAATGCTTTGGTTCTCTAGAAATTTTGGAAAATTCTTCGGTTTTCCAGGAAATTTAAGAAAATCCTCATGTTTTCTAAAAAAATGTGACAAAATTCTCTGATTTTCTAGGATATTATTAATAATTCTTCATTTTTTTGGAAATTCTCGGGATTTTTTCCAAAATAATTTTAATTTTTTTAATATAAACTTCAATCCTTCGGGAAAATTCTAGAAATTTTTTGACAATTCTCAAAAAATTTAAATTTTTTCGAAATTTTGGATTTTTTCTAATATTCTAAAACTTGGTAGAAGTCTAGAAATTTATTGAGTCGTGGAAAAATACAGGGAAGGGTTTTCTATAGTGAAAAAAATTCAGAAATTGAAAAAAATTGAAAAATACCACAGTTTTCTCAAAAATATAATAAAAACAGAGACGTATCCCCGTAAAATTATGGTTGTATTAAAGATAGAGCCCCCAGCATATTTCTATCGTCTCGAGTTAATCTAAATCGTACGGCTCGATCAGCAGACATTGAAAAGTTCAATTTTACTCCATCGTCCCTTGCGTTCTACTTCACTACATACTTAGAATGGAGGTGATGTACTCACCTAACTGAAGACCAAGATTTCCCGATGTTTTTCCCCCGGGGGGAGGTATTCCGGCTTCGTCCATTAGATCGACACTACAGTTATCCCTGTGTAAAGAAGAGCATGCATAAGGTAATGCCATTCTGACATGCATGTGCCATTGTAAATTCTCATTTATAAATTTACAATAGCCGCTAAAAATTTGATTTTTAAATTTGGGCATGTGGAGTAGTATGAATGACATGACAAATTGTTATTCTATTCTTATAATATCTGAACGGAGCATTGATTCCATCCTTTGACAGGACGCGAATTCCTGAATCATTGACTTGAAGTTAAAAAATGAAAATCCCGGAAAAAAAATCTAGAACAATTCGAATAGAAAACGGTCGATTCGAATTTCATTTATCAAGGGAAGAGCGATGATGGTTTACCTATAGTAAAGTTTATTCAACGATTTGAATGGCGAGACCGCTACAAACATGAAAACAATGGAATAATGCAGATCATTTCAGTAGCGAAATGGTAAATCGATATCAGTTGATTTTGACTATTGGCCAATTTTCAATAAATATCTCGGAATCTAAGGGAAATAGCGAAATTGCTGTGATTTCCTTTTTTGTAGCTCTCAATTTGCTCTACAAAAAAGGTTATGACAAAAATTTTGCTATTTCACTTGGATTTTGAGATATTCATTGAAAACTGGGCAATAGTCAAAATCGATTTATAACGGTTTACTACTTCATTACTGATTTGGACGATTTATCGCGAGTTTGAAACACTTTTTTTGTTTGATTTTATGGATGGTACTAACATATCAGAAAGGGGTTCGACGACGATTTCAGCCACATCGCCGGTGTGCTCGATTATCTGTGCGACGTCCTCAAACGTGCGATCGATGAGGGATACGCCTGACCACTCCAAAACCTGTAACATTGAGCATAAGATTTTTTATGGGGATTTGAGAGTGAGGAAGACAGGGAAAATTTAAAGTTTTTCACGACATGACTTGTCTCATTCTTTCGTAATTATCGAGTCTGCTGCTGACCGCAGAGGCTAATACTTCTATTTCATACTTTTTAAATGAAAGAATTCGGTTATTTTTTGATTGAAGTGGAGAAATTTCACTGTATTGAAGAGAGAAATAAAAATACTGTGATATAATTGTCAATTGTCAATTCAAGAGCCTGATGAAGCTAAAATATATTTAGCGAAAAGTCGAATCCTTGTCAATTAGATCATCGTGTATTTACTTCTTCAAAAATCCCTAATTCCTTGATTCATTCAGATCGCTTGGAGATGAATATATTTATTGATTTCCCTGTATTCTTCCTCATTTCACTGTTCTGGGACGAAATTATAAAATAATTTGCCTGTCACTCGGGAGCAAAAAGTATGAATTTTTTTTGGCCTCTGCAAGATAAAGATAGGCCACGAGAAAAAAATCGACGATTTTTCGTTAATCCCCTTAATTAACTTAATTGTTACAATTAATCTTTCGAACTTGGTATATCGACGCCCCCAGATAATCACTACTGGGGCACATGAACTTTCGATCTTTTGGTATATCCTTACAAATTGCTCTGGTCCACGCAGGGGAGCCCACGGAGAGGAGGTTCCTACCTCTCATTCTCGGCTAAAGCCAACCATTACTCAGGATTAAAAATTCTTTGATGCTATTCGCTATTGCCTAGTAGTAATAATGATAATAACGATAATACACTGAGAGAAAATATAAGTTCTGCTAAAAAATGTTGAATCAATTCACTTGTGGACGAAAAGAAAGTTTCCACCAAAATATGATAATTTTTGTAGTAATAATTGTTCTCGTGAGACATTCATGTCTTTCGGGTAAATACATTTGTTCTACAGAGAATTATATGAGGCTCCGGTTTTATCAAGTAAACTTTACTGAGTAGTGTATATCTTTGTCCAATAAACACTTATAATTTCCATGGAACAAATGATAATTCCAAGAGGAAACTAAAATTTTCTTGCCGATAACTGTGTTATTGGCAAAACTAAATAATTTCGAGGGGACAATTTTTTTTGGGGAAAAAATATTCTTTCCTCGTCAATGTATTCTTTCTATGGTATATACCTATGGAGTTCTCTCAGATCAAATGATTGTCGTAAATTGAAAACTCTTTTTTTTTGTTTTTTTTTTCAAAAATTATTTCTCCATTCTCGAAAACTCTCTGCACATGGCCCTTGACAATTTTCCTGGAGCATCCATCGTGTCACCTAACGAATACATCACTCAAGATTTTGTCTCTGATCCTCGGTATCTCTATTGAAACCCACTATTCAACTAAAGATGTAACAGCCGCACAATAGATGTAGGCGAAACAGAGATGAGAGTTGTCCTTGAGTGACATATTGTGTTATTCGCAGTCCTTTCGAGCGGCGTGAGCCTCCTTGAGAGAAAAATGAGTACAGCCGAGGGCCTTCGTATTTTACACCCTTTTGTTGATTTCCACTTCTCCCTCATTTTTCATTCTCCACATTCACGCCGGTTGTTCCTAATTTTCCGCTTTAACTTTCAGGTTGCTTTCGACTTACTTTTCGCTTCCCCTCTTTCATACACTCCGTAACCGAACAAAAGATGAGCGTATGCGAAACGTATGCGGAGATATATAAATCGTGAGCTTGATAAAACGCCTGTGCAAGCGCGGTTTTAGTATATCCGTGTCCACACACAATTTTCCACGTATTCAACGTCACTATCAGCATATATTTTTCATTTCACCCTCTCCTCCTTGCGCCAACATTTCTCATCAGGTTGTATACGCTGAAACGACCTACATAAGCTCTGGTAAACATGGGTTTGATACAGGAACTATGGGGTGCGGCTTATCACCCCAGCGGATAAATATTTCAAAAATATTTTTATTTTTTTATTTTTTACTTCCGAGTGGAAGCTTCAAGTTTTGGATTTTTTGTGGTATGTCGATCCAGTATGATCCAAAAAGTACGAAAATGCCTACTTGATAAACTACTTGATTTTTCAGTTCAATTATTCTGTGAAAATTCGGAAAAATCAGGAATATTCAGAGAAAAAATGGAAATTCATGTCATTTTGCTTCTGAATATTCATGTTTCAGTGAAAATTCAATCAAGTTGTGGAATTTCCATCTCACTCTCACTGAAATCTCATGAATTTCCGTGAATTCCACTTAAAACTTGAAATTTCATAAACATTTATTCCATAAATTCCATTCAATGTCACTCTCGCTTGTTCGTTAATGAATGGGTAGAATTGATTTTTTTTCCAAATGCAGGTATAGTTCAGCCCTATCGATCGCTATTAATTAAAATCTCATTCATCAATTAGTTTTTTAATTTTCGATTTTTTTCGAAAATCCGTTGTCCCACGATAACTAAAAAAAATGTTCTGAATTGATTGAATGATGGCTTAAAAAATTTGTTTGGATGTCCTTTTGACCGAGTTCAAAGATGAAAGCGATAGCAATAATCGTTATTTTGATTTATTTGAAAATTTGCAAAAATTTGGTATTTTTTGAAAATCAGAATTCCGGGGATATCTTTGAATATCATGCTTCTAATGAATTCAATCATAACTTAAAATGTTTGTTTCAATGCCATTAAGTCGAAGATAAAAGATGGTTACGATAGCTGTATTGGTTGATTTGAATTTCATGATTGTTGAAAATTTCCAATTTTTCATGAATTTCCCTGAAAGTGAGCTTTCTGATGGTTCAAATGTGATGTTTCAAATTCATTCAAGTATGTGTAAATAAAAATTTTCTATCAACATTTTATCGAAGGGCTGAGGGGAGAGATAGAACCGTAAAAAGGACATTCGGTTGTGTAGAAAAAAGGGAAAATAAGAATAATGATGATGATGACAGCCTGAGAGCGAAATTATTTATCAGGAAACTTTACAATTTTTAAAATTGAGAAGAGAATGTATTGTATCAAGTAAACTTTCTTTGTCAAAAGTAGTTTTTTCTGTTACTACACACTATCAGTTAATTGACAGTATTCATGCAGCGTGTTGTTAAAATGACTGGTACACCACAGCAGAAGCATTAAATCGTTGGAAAATCAGCCAAGACTTTCTCCCCAGTTTGACGCTGATAGTGGGTTGTTGGCACAGTTGAGTGTTCCATTTATCGATTTATTCAAAAATGATAAGGACTCAATTATGTAGGATGCAATATTTACTATCGAACATGGGGAAATGTGAGTTTGAGGGAAACTCTTGGCACTGCAGAGCGCCAAGGAATGAGGGTGTGAGCTCTCCTGTGTAGGAGTGGATTTAGGCGAGGCCAGAGGCAGTTCGATAGTGCCAGTTCTATTCTCCATTTCCCTTGGCAAAAGTTTTCATGTAATTAATTACTGAAGGCTATAGGTGGGCTTCACGCAGTGGGATCGTGACTCAGTCCATTAGTAACAGCCGCGAGCATTGTTTTCCTACCAATTAAGAAAAGTAATGTGGCGCAAATGTAACGTGCCAAGCCGTTCATTCCGTCGCCTCGGAAAATTAGCAATAGAACGGTTGTTTGTTCGCTTTATTACATTCCGTTGATTTTTATTGAAAAACAAAAACAATCAAAGGACTGATGTGTTTTGTGTGAACTTGATTCCTTTCAAAAGTAATTCATCGCGAGATGCATACACGGAGAAATATTTAGTAAAAATTAGAGAACAATTCATGTAATCCGCAATGGGGAATCGTTTTTCGGCAATTTTTATAGGAATGGAAGAGAAGAAATTCGGAACGTTCAGTGAATTTTCAGGTTCATCACCGAATAAAGTACGAAATTGTCACGTATATATATATCTGGACACTGCGGAAAACAAATTAATTTTCAGTTGATCAGAATATTGATGGAATATATATTGCTTTTACCTTATCGCCCTTCTGTAGTCCAACTTTTTCTGCCGGTCCCCCGGGCACTGTCCATACGATTGAAGCGTAGAGACGTCCGTCTGTACCAGATTTACCGCCCAGCACTCGCATACCAAAACCACGTGCTGCAAATGAAGGATTCATTGGGGATATGGATTTACATATATTTTTATGCATGTTACACTGTTAAAAAATTTTTTCTTGATTTTTCGGTACACTTTTCGAAAATTTTTATTGAATTCAATTACCACTGAAATTTGTGATGTTTTATTCATGGAAAAACACAATTGTTCCACAATTGAAATTTTGTTCCACACAGAAAAATTTCTATTTTGAAAAATATATAAAACAAATGAATTGGCCCAATTTATTTTTAAATTGGCCTAATTTATATTTAAAAAAAATATAAAATATGTTTTATATATATTTTTCTGTCTGTTTTTTATAAATTTGCAATATGTACGGAATTGGCCCCTATTACATATATTTTTTATAGTTTTTTTATGGGGATCGTGGGGGAAGTTTCCTAAAAGTTTCCTCTTCTTGCTTAAAAATTAAAAAATTAGTCTGCAAACTTAATGAAAAGAGCGTAGATTACGGGACCTGGCAAATCTCCGCAAGTTGAAGAAATCCCTGCAATGATGTATCTATCAATATATTATGTAAGTTCCTAATTACATCGACAGAGTCAGAAATGGTAGAATGCACAGTGCTCGGAATAACGGTTCCGCAACCGTCGTGAGGTACACCGCAGAGTTGTCAGTAGCATTCCGCTCGCTAGCATTACGCTTCCACGATTGCAACTGTATTACTAGTTGCAATGGGTTTGACGCCCATCTGTATTCCAGATATCAGACGGAATACAGACGTCTTAATCATCATAAATATCTAAAATTGGCCAGAATGTCTGACAATTTCAGGTACAACTTATGTTTGAAAGGACCCTAAACCTTTTTTTTTTCATCTGAAAAATTTCAGACGTTCATTTTCAGACATTTTTTCTTATTCTTTCTTATCCCCTTCCGTTTAATCCCCTCCTCCCCCCGCCAGCGTAAAACGGCTTAAGTCGACTTATCTCCCAGTTGAGTTTTTGAAAAATACTTCCGAATCTAAGGGAGATAGCGAAATTTTCGTTATTACATTTATTATAGCTCTCAATCGGCTCTACAAAAAAGGTTATAACAAAAATTTTACTATCTCCCTTAGATTCCCAGATATTCATTGAAAACTGGCCAATAGTCAAAATTAACTTGTACCGTTCTACCACTTCGCTACTGATATAAATATCTGCATAAGACATGTGTAATTTTTTTTGTAATTAGTAAATATACTTGGCAAAAATATTTTTTTTCTCAGTTTAGAGACGAAACTCCTTAAAACACCAGCGATTGACGTAAATCTGAGATACTCATATCCTCATTATTTAAGTTGATTTCAGTTGAGTAATTATCTCCTTGAGTTTAACCCAGTTTGCGTAAATTCAAGTGTTATCTCTTGACCAGAGTGACTGTAAAGAGGTGCTCGTGAATAAACTGTTTGTTCAATGATTGCATGTGTGATCATAAGGTGGAATCAGGAGCGAGGAAATATTGACAATGTACGAGCACAATGCTGCAAATCACGAAAATCTTAATCAAATTTTCATGGTTTCGGACGGAGAAAAAAATGGGGGTAAAAATTATAAAACAAATCCAGTTATTATGGAGCGAAATTCAGTTTTGGGACTTTTGCCTCTATGTCGAGGGGAAAATGCGATACGAAGGGTGAATTCTTATTCACTTGTGCAAAAATTGGGGTTTTCACCTTGTTAATAATATATAATAATAATTTTTCTCCGATGTTTCTTCGATATAAATACAAAAATATATAATATAAAATGTGTAAAATTATGGTAATGTTATTAATAATAAGAATAATAAAATTTATGTATTATATATAATGTATTATTATTTTATACATTTTATACATAAATAAGTATTTTTTATTCATGAGCTAAGATAAAATTTAAGTTCCTCCTATTCCTCCAGCCTATTTTACGATTGACAGCAACAAAATAAAATACAATAAAGTAAAATGGCCTGGAGGAGTAGGAAGAACTTAAATATGGATACAAACGGTTGGAAAAACAGAAATAATTCAGCTAAGATAAAATTAAAATATTCCTAAGTCTAGCACAGGCTTGGCGAGATAGATTGCTGACCAAAAGTATTTCCCCCATTTTTAAATAGAGGATTAATAGAGGCTTACATTTTCATACTTGAAAAACACTGGAATTGCACCTGATTTCATCAACAACGTGAATTTTTCGTCGTAAAAATTTTTAAAGATGATTTTCTCAAAATCTTTAAAAAATCTGAACATGATAAAAGCGGGCATTGACTCCTTTTTAATAAATAAATGAATAAATAATGATAAAAAATAATACGCAGAAATGAGTAGCCAATCATTCTTTCCTAGCGATATAAAATAATGGTACACAGCTTAGATTTAACACAATAGTTACTGTGGAAATTTGGGGTGAATTGAACAAAGAGTTGGTCGGGGCCGTTGATATTTGAGGTGAACAAAAGAACCACCAAGTCACCGAAACTAGTGTACGCCGGTGGATTGACTGCAACAGGTATCCATTGTTTGTGGTTGGCCCGAGTCATGAAGGATTTTATGCAAGACAAATGATTTCAATTTGCACGTTTTTGCGCCTACCGTGAATTGCCGAAATTGTTAACAATGCCGGTGTTAAAGGGCAACTTGAACAGTCAATCCACCGACGGATGATGATAAATTTTTTGGCACTGACAAATAGTCTCAGACAGTTTATCAGCGATTAATCGATAAACAGGAGCACTTGAGCATTGAGTACCGGATAATGGGATGGTGTTGTGAGAGAGATTTGCGCAAGGTGACACTAATGGTCTTGTATCGATTTGCCCTGTGTGTGACGAAGGGCCGACGAGCCGAAACACTGGTGAGCTGCGTGGAGAGAAATTTTTGATAAAAATTATCCTACCGTTCTATAAATGTGAACCATGAGTCATCGTTTCCTCATTTCTATCCTAAAATTTAGCAAAAATTAATATGTGATGATCAAATTTTATTCTACGTTAGGGAAATTTTATCCTGACGCATCATAAATTTTATCCTTCCAGTCCAATAATTTTTATGTAGATAGCAACGAAAATTCTAGAATGGTTGGTAAATTTTACCCTAGCGGTACAGTAATTTTTACTCTACCGTCACGGTGGTTTTTATTTTTATCAGGATGAAATTTCTCTAACGTAGAATAAAATTTGATCATATATTAATTTTTACTAAATTTCGGGATAGAAATGAGGAAACGACGACTCATGATACACTTTTATAGAACGGTAGGATAATTTTTATCAAAAATTTCTCTCCGTGTGGGAAATTTTACGGAACTGTCACGGAATTTTTCCAGAGCGTTCCGTAGCTTCTACTGAACATTTCTCTCGGTTATTAAATTTTTAATTTTTTTTCGTCATTTTAACTTGTTACAACAAACACCTTGAGAGCTCAACTAATCAAATTACAGTAACAATGAAACGAAATCACCCAGTTAATGGGTATCTTCCAAACTTTTATGGTGTCGTTCAAGTAACACATCATACTGTTACTATCCAACTCCTCAAGTTTCTCAGCAGGGGGACTCTATGTCCGATAAAGTGTATATTCAGTGGAAATGCCTGGAGGGATGATGCCCATATAAGATACTGAGTCGTCACATAATGTTCAGTAGGATCAAGTCATAAACTCAAGTTTATAAACGTTTCTCAAGATCAGAATTTCCCGATCGCAATTTCTTGAAGTGGAGATCGTGGTCACGGAATTAAAATAAAGGTGAATAAAAGGTGTTAAAAAATCAAACTCTGAGATTTTTTGAGAGTTGCAAAGGGTCGAACAGGGAAAAATGGACCAATGTTTAGGAACACGTCTAAGCGCTTCAATATTCAAACGATTATGAGCTAAAAATTGAGTTACTTATAGTAGAAATTAGCAGAAAAGAGATGGATTTTTAGAAATATTGATTTTTTTGTATGCATTTATAGTTTTTTTTTCAATAGTATTACCTAATTTTTAATTAATTAACTAATTTAATTAATTAATTTGATTAGTAAAATTCCGACGACTTTCAAATTTCGCCGCTGTCGCCTCTTAAGGATATCCAAGTATCTTTACTTACAGTATGACACAGTATTACAGCTTTGGCACAGATCATACTATAGATTCAACCATTTTCAATCATTAAATTTGTCAATTAAATTGCGGGAAAAAAATTTGAAACAAAATCATGAGTATTCATTATCATTAAAATTACATTTTGCACGGAATTATAATTTTTTAACACTCGTTATTCATAAATAAGCAATTGTTCAAATTTTCCGAGAACTTATTTTTTTATTTTAGACATAAAGTCGATTTCTAGTAAAATTCTGAATACAAATAAATTTATAGCGATTACGAACAAATGATTTTTACGGTGGAAATAGATTATTTACAAATTATTTACAGAAAATGCTCGTAATTTTAAAAAATTGTAATTTTCAAATTTTTTCTTCAATCTTCCTCCAAAAGTAAATTTTCTAATTATTTTCAAATTTTTAAAATCGTTTCTAACTGTTCAATATCACGATTCAAATTAAGACCTGCCAAGTTCAACTATAAAAATCATAATCGAAAAATGTCCGGAAACAGGGTCAAATGAGGCTGAAATGAAAGCATTTCTGGAGAAAAAATCGCCGAAGTATTTGGATCTCCTTAAAAAAACCTAACATTACTTTCCACTCCTATTCTGTATGTATTCTGTAATAGGCTGGTCATTTCCCTCTCAATTCCTGTTACCTTTGCTTTTCAATCCGACAATCGCCTGACCCCTGTAATTTGAGATCAACGAGTACCTGTTGATCTTGCACACGTCACGCACGTAGACCGAGGGGGCAAAAAAACAAGCTAGACGTACAAGAAAAAGTGCGTGAGGGGCGCAGAAATATAGACACGACAAAGAATCGAGTGCCCCCCCCCCTGACTGCAAGAAAAGTGTAAATAAAGCGTGTAAAACGTAAAAAAAGCTGTGATACGGTTCGCCCTTTTCCACCCAAGTAATACTGGCCAAACGTTGGTATCGCATGACTCGCTCACGTGTGACTAACCTCAATGAGAACACAGAAAAAAAAGGAGGGCGTGAAACAAACACCCACGCAAGTGAAATTATCATGAGATATGTATCAACCTCTTCATCGTTGGATGTAACGAAGGTAAAAGTTTGTTTGAACATCCTCATTAGATTCTGCAAAGAATTATTCAACGTTTTAGTTTCCCTAGTTGGAAACTTTTGGTACGCTGGGAGGGTGGATAAAGTGCCGAGGGTTAATTATCCTGGTGAAAATTATAGGGTTAATCCCTCGTTTCTCTTGACCCCATTTCCACGAGTACAGCCAAAAAGATGAGATGTGGCCCGGGGGTGGGGAATAATAGTGACGTGAGAACTTGAATGACACATGGAGAAAGAAGTTGAAGAAAAATTGGCAATCAAGTCAAGTAATCGTGGAGCGGAAGTCATTTCCAGGCAAAACACACGTATTGATCCATAATATTCCATCAATTTTCGAAATTGATGACCAGAGTGAAGTGGGAGCCCAAGCAGATGAAGAAATCATGAAAAATGAAACGTCAAAAGTGAATCACTTTGGCTATTTTTTCACGGAAAACAACATTTTGTCCGTATGCTGGAGCCCATCGGCAACACTTTTCTGCTGCATGAAGTGGTACAATATCAGCGTAAAGGTGACAGTTCGACAATGGCTGCGCCAAGAGGGATAATGTCAGCATGATCGATGGCGCGGCGCCATAACGGTGAGCCAATACATCTTGAGCCCACTACACCATCTCAAAATTACACTTTTTTCCCCTCTACCTACATGTTTTTCTTTCAATTTCCAATGTTGGTCATTCTACGAGTATCTCAGGAGGAATCAAACCTGTTGCGTGCCAACAGCCGCTATATCAAAATTTCCACACCATCACGAGTCAACAATTTGTAATCTGGATGGATCTGTATTAATGGCAAACTTCTGTAGACCGTATCGCATGTAATTACGAATGGAATTAATTTGAGAGTGATAGATTGAATTGTTTGCTCATGTGTAATAATTTCACGTCAAGTGTTGGTGGTTCATGCGTTTGATTTTCCGATGGGTAGGCTGCATCATAATTCAATGCCTGCAAGATTTGTCTTGCTGAAGGAGGAAGTGTAAAAGGGAGTGAACTTATTTTGATGAATCTTCACGGTCACAGCATACTCCTCCCCCGGCGAGTATATGACAAAAGTTTTTTCTCCTTTTAACCCCAACTTACGAGGGAAGTTGGGATTCTTCGAGATCGTTCGAGGCTGCCTCGTGAAGATGGAGTTGAGGGTGACGGCGTCAATGAAAGAAGTTTTTACCCAATATTAGTGGCATTCGGGTGGGGTACAAGGTTATTGAGGGAAGATGGCGAGTCGCGCGACATTGACGTGTCGAGGTTGGCTAAGCTCATTTCGCTCCGCTCACTTCGCTCGCTCCCGTCTAGAATGTGTTGATATACGCATAAATTACGATTAGTATATTTAAACCTTGATCAATGTAAGTCGTAAACTCTTTTAATACTGAAGCATCGGAATATTGATGGCCATCGCTGTTGATTTCTTTCATCCAATAATTGTCAATCTTTTAATATTCTACAAAATAATCTATTCGGGCCCCCTCCGATGTATAAAATTTTTTAAACAATATCCACAATATTATCATTCTGCAAATCAAAGGTTGTTACTACTCACTTCTGTGTCCTTTTTCCATCAGCATCGAATCTTTTCTGAGTACCACCCTCCTTTTAGTATTGACCCTCGGAGCTGAAAGAAAATTTTTGATTATTAATACGCGATGATAACTCGATAACGCGATGATAGTAAAAAAAGTTAAATGAAAATTATTCCGAGAATCGCGAATTTCTTACATAAAACGTCTCAATAGAAAAGGTTGTAAAGAAACATGAAATGAAAAGTTAGAACAAAAAATACTACCTCAAAATTTCAAGTATTGTTATCGATTTTTATGCGAGTGTTACTGTCACATCGGATGGTTATTTATGAGCAATAAAATTCGGTAACTAAACGCATAGAGAATAGATGTACAGGTGTTGCAAATCTCCCAGGGTTTTATTCGACTTCAATTCCACCCTTGACATTATATTGCACACTAGTCTGTGTCCATACAACCCATCAACCCCACAAACCCAATAAAATAGAACGTTTTATGTGTTTGTACTTTGTGATGAAACACATTGACAGAGGGGATGACACGAATATATTTACTATTCGCACACACTATTAAAAGTTTTTCTCTGAATTTTTCGCGTCAGAGTTCCGGTATTAACGTCAAGTGACTTGTGCTGTAAAAATTCGTAAAAATCGTGAAAATACAGGTATTTGTAGTGAGCCTCATATTTTTCTTCATAAAAAATATGGGTCACAATCTTTTTTTTTCGTTATACTGTTGAAAATTTTTTACTGAAATTTCCGTTAAGAATTTCGATCACTGGAAATTCACCATTTCATAGAAAATTCTGTGAGAACTGTAAATTTCAGTTTAATTATTCCCGAAAAATTAATGATAAGTTGGGGAAATTCAAGGAAATCTCACCTTAAATTCCGAATTCCTCTGAATTTTCATGGCATTCCTTCAATAATTCCTGGAATTCCAAGAATTTTAAAGAAATTTCCTGAAGATTCAAGGAAATTTGACTATTAATATTGATTTTCACTTGAAAATCCATGTAAATTATGAAATTTTCGTCTTTCTACTGCTAAAAAAATGGGACTTTACTTGAGTTTTCAGAGAAACTTGAAATTCCACAGACTTTTTCTCATTAAATCGAATTCAAAGTCTTTTTCCGCAAGATTTAGCCAAATTTTTCAACAGCGTAGATCAATTCAAATGTCATTCTTATTTAGATCACTACCAGATCGTCCATTAAATATCATTTATTTTCCTAATAGCGTATATCAAGCCTCGATGGAACAATACCACGAAAATAATGGTCTTATGCAATTAACAATCATATCATGCATTTGTTTTTCGATAATAGCCATTGGATGAATGCTCCATTTTTTTCTCCCAATCTGTTTTCCAATACCTCTCAACCGATGATGCAGCATCCGTGATATTGTTTCATAGCTTGTACATATATTTTGCTTCGCTAATTAAGAGTTTACATAACACAGCCATCCCATTGGTCCCATAGCAACCGATTCCATTACCCGTCAACTCTCTCTCTCTCTCTCTCTTCGTGAACTACTCTTTGTTGCGTTTGGTCTAATTAATAGGCATTATTAACGTTGAGCTAGTATTCCTTTGTCAGCTGTAAACAATATTCTATGGCGGTAGTAGGTATTCAGTATTTGAGAACTACAACGTGAGGGGAATGTGGAATCTGTACCAGTGAGGATTACTGCAAAGGATTTTTAAAAATTATCATTTGTATCGTTCACTGTTAGAAAATTACTCGTGAAAATTCAAGTGGAAAAAGCTTGAAATTTTTAACAACGACGACAAAGTTACATGAAATGTCTATATTTTTTCATTAACGAATCAGTCAATTTCTTGAATGTTGAAGTAATTTTTTTACTTCAATAATTTTTTTTTCGGGCAAAAACTTCTGAATTCTCAATCTATTGAAAATTGAATTGTATGTGATGTTAAATTTTCATGATGACTTTGGAAATTCCAGCTTATACTGAACAATCAATAATTCTTCAACTTAAAAAATTCTATTTTCTTGAATTTTCAAGATGAATGAGAAATTTCATGAGCGCTTCAATTTGAAATTCAATTCAACCTCACAACATCGAAAATTCAAATGACGCTGTGAGGATTGATTTCCCTTAAGTAAATTTGTTCCACTCCATAAAACATTCTCACGTGGAACATATATTTTTGGGGCAGAGCTAATTTTTTCTCTCAATTTCGCCAGATCGCGGACACTCGTAATTGTGCGATTAAGATAATTATTTTATGACTCGAGGAGTAGAAGATTCCCTTCGCGCTAAGATGACTTCACTCTTCCTCGGTGAATTTGAAATTTTATTCATTAAAAACTCGCTGAGGATGGCAGAAACCGGGACAGCGGCAGTCACTGCGACATTGACGGTATCGTAAATCAATATGCCCAGCTGGGGCCGAAAAGCTGTGACGTATTTCGCCTGTTTGTGGTTGAGTAAGATGGTCGTAAAATGCAAACTCCTGGTATCGGAAAACTCAGGCATTTTCCTTTTTAAAAATTGAAAATTGTCACTCAGATAAATCTGAGATCTAGTATGAATTCAAGCTGATAGTGCAATTGTGGAATTCAGTACCAAAGCATATCTTCTCTTACTTGGACAAATTCCATACCAGAAGCCTGCGTGATGGCTAAGATATAATACCACATACCTAGATCACTGTCCACATCGTGAATAACAATCTTGATCCCCTCGCCCTCTGCTAAACTTCCCTGTCGTGGTAATTCGCGATCTTCCGCAGCCACACGAGCAACGACTGGTGGAGTTGCTTTTGGCACTGATGGAAGACTTCTCACCATATTGATATCTGGTCTGTAAACAAATAATCGCAAATGTCAGAGGAATACAATGAGAGAAACGAACAGGTACTCAACAAATCCTGTTCCAGCCAAAAAATTGCAAGTTACGTATCACCAAAAAAAGTAATTGTTCAATTCCAAATTGAAAGTCTCAAACATGAATAATCACTCGGCGTTTGCCAACAAAGGAATATTTCACTCCTGAAGGTAATCTATCATGAAATTACTCCATTATTGAATAAAAACACAGAAATCTATTTTTGCGACGAAATTTTTCATCTTAACGCAGTCTCCAAATGATCAGCACTAAATTTTATTTTTTGTGATTTTAAACTTGCAATTTTTTTGGTCCAAACGAGATCCGTTTCAGAAAATATATTTGTCTCTCAGTCTAATACATATGTAGTATTAATGAATTTCTGATGAACAGTGAAGGGATGAAGCTCATTCTGTTGGTAATTCGGGACATGCGTGAAATAACGATACATCCGAGCGTGTGGAATATTGTGGAAACGTTTTCATCATGGTAGTTGGAAATTCCTGAGCGATTTTAGCCTGCATTCACGACTCCGGCTAGTGAGCAGGCATATTTGGAGGTATGCAGGAAGAATTTCACTGATATTTTTCAGGGAAGTTTGATAGGTTAGGAATTTCATTACAACTGTTGGTTACGAGATGTATGATAATGAAAAATTTCACCCGATAATTCGACTGAATCATTAGAATTTCGTAAAAATCCGCAGACAAAATGTATCATGAATCTCGTTTGCATCAGCTTTCCATATAGCTCCATTTTCTTCCTACATTCCTCTTCATCTGTCGACGTGTAAGACTTAATTTTGATGCAATTAGCATTCGATGCTGTGGTTTCCTCCCTCTTGTTTGACGTAATTTACATACAGTAGGAGAAATGAGGGAAATTCGTGTTTAACGAGGACTTCAGTTGCTTCCAAGGAAGCCAACTCATCCCTTTTTTGGTGGCTCTCCACAATCAAGTGAGCGTTCTCGTTTCATAAGACCATCTGTTTAATTTACGAAGACAAGGTTCCTTAGGACTAGATGAATATGGAAATAAGCACTAGCACTAGATTGTCTTTCAAGTTTCACTCCAGTATGACTCATCATCAATTCATCATTTTCTTCCTACAATTTTTCTTCGTCTCTCAACAGGTGACACACCCACAAAGAAGATGTCGTCTAAGACTGTTGTAGATAAACGTGTCAACATTTTTCCGTATACAGTACCCATTGTGCAGGTGTATAAAGTGTAATTGGATCAAAATAGTACTATTCCCTCCGGCTAATGTCTCAAGTAGATGACACCCTCATGTAAAACTTAATTATCATACAATTAGCATCCAACGCTATGGTTTCCTCCCTCTTGTTTGCCGTAATTTACATACAGTAGGAGAAATGAGGGAAAACTCGTGCTTAACGAGGACTTCAGTTCCTTCCAAGGAAGCCAACTCATCCCATTTTTGGTGGCTCACCGCAATCAGGTGAGCGTTCTCGTTTCATAAAACCATTTGTTTAATTTACGAAGACAAGGTTCCTCAGGACTAGAGGAATATGGAAATAAGCACTTGATTGTCTTCCAACTTTCAGTCCAGCAAGACTCATCATGCTGCATGATTTTCAAGTGTCTGCATGATGAAGACAATCTGCGCTCCAATGCGGACGATTATCTTTTTTGGCCAACAACCACAAAATGTTCAATTTCCCAACAAAGATTTTCTCATCTCAAATCACACTCGTAAGTTGAGTTATAGTCTATCTCCATTTCATAGAAAAATTAATACGTATCATTGTACTCATGATAATCGTGCATAAATGGGTTAATCAAGTGAGAAAATCTCTCGACAAACAGAGGAACAGGGAGACAGAAGGCAGATAAGGCATCATCTCACTGACGAATTGTAAATATAATCAACTGCTGAGAGGAGGCTACAAGTTTGTTCAACTGTGGGAGCGAAAGGGAATTGATGGAGATGAAGGATCCACAGGGGTTTCTTCGTGAGGAAAGTCTCACGACTTTGCTCACGTCTCTGTAAAAGCCCTCTCTATACTTACATCACCGCACAAAACTTTTCCCTAAACATTCAAACTTCCTGGCCCCTACAATTCCCCTACACTCATACTCCTCACCTAAGACTAAATGTGTTCATACTTCAACGCAAAGTGTAACTCCGGGCTGTTCTGTCATAAATCCTTGAGTCTCAGCAGAATTTTTTCGGGAAATCTGGGCATCAATTACTAGGAGGACCTAAATATTCAAGGTTGATGCAAAGCTCAATTTAATTCCCAACGTCGCTGTAGTCCCCGGGTCCCATTCACCCAGTAATTCTACAGACTCGTGTGAAGATCTTCGAAAAGACAAAAAAAAGGAGAAGTGAATGGTTGCTATTGAGATGATTACGTTGCTGCGAGGGGTAAACGGTCGATTCAAATGCAAAACCAGAGTTGAGAATGTATAACTATCGAGCCCTTTCTTCGGTTGAGGAAAGGGATGGAGGCCCTACAGTGAAACGGATCTCAAGTATTAGTATGTCGTACAGAAGAAAATTTTATTCGAAGCACTTGGAGTATTAGAAAAGAGTCGGGCAAAATGGGCGAGTTGAGAAGTTCTAGATGTTTTTTTTTCTTCCACTTGAAATCCTTCCTCGTTCGGATAACAGAGCAATGCTGTTATAGAAAATTCTTCTTGTTTCACCATTTTTCCAAGCCAGGACGATTCCAAATTTAAATAATGAACATCTGATGCGGATTCACTGGCATCTGATTTTTTCCTCAACTGAGGACTAAAAATTAAGAAATTGAAAATTAAAAACCCCCGACGAAAAAGTTATTCTTCAATAGTTGAAAAAGAAGAAACTGAACTTCATTTTTTTTTCAACAAAACAGACAACTGAAACAACGTCAAATAAAAAACGAGCCGCGTAGTTCGATTCCTCGAAGAGTTTTCTTCATTCCTAAAGTAAAAATTCGTTTTTTCAAATAGTTTTTCATGTCGCTTTGTCCGGACAACCACATTGAAGAGTTGTATTACCTCAATCGTGTCAAAAGCACATCCCCTCCCTCTGGTTTCTCGTTGGAGGGTAAAAAATTACATCTCGCTGTTACGAGACTTCATGAAATGAACTCGGATAAGATATGAAAAATTCAAAAGAAGAGTATTTTTTAAGAGAATGCGGACAAACTCACAGCATTGAAGCGCGTCGTGTTCTCGGTCTTGACTCCCGTGGTTCATCACTTTGAACTGATACTTCCGATCCAGCGGTAGCATCCAAATTTATTATCTTCTCTTCTTCGCCCGCCATATCGTATGTCATCACGGGTTTGACGGCCCTGAACGACGGTCTTCTGCCTGGTGATCTATCCTCCGCATCCCTCGAGCCTGCATATCATAAAATGAAAGCCCAATATGGGCGTTTTATCATTCATATCCCAAACTCTTGTCATAAAATAGAGTAGGGAATCACGAAAAATGTCATTCAGTTGGAAACCTCACAGTTGAAGTTTACAAATGAAATTAACATTTCGTTTATCGTAGAAGGAAAAAAGTGATGTTGAAAACTGAAGCCCTACAAAGCAGCTGAAAAATGAAAAATTAGTAAAATGCTGTGGAAAAAACCACGAGAGAATGGCACAAAAGTTTCGCTCCATGAATCAACCCTTTCCCTTTAAATCTACCTGATGCTGGAGTGAAAACTCCAGTGTGTCGACCAACAAGGTAACCAACTCGCTAATACATAGTCAGAGAATTGTATATACATTAGTTTATTTGTACGAACTAACACGGTGCCAGTGGCATACGGGTGAACAGAGAATTCGATACATGCTCATCAAAGGGGTGTATGCAACAACTCACATGGCTCTCACGAGGATTTTGCTCACGTGGAAACATGATGATCATTAGTTTGCACATATTAGCAGCATTGATCTTCGTGGAATTAAATTATTTCTTGTTTATCGATCGTACAACTACTGTTTCATAATCCCTTGACTATGTTTTTTCCTTCGAAGGGAAGCGTTGTTATTTTTAAAGAGCAAGTTTCCAATTTTTTGTTATAATCTGATGTTTTTGGATAATCAATTGATCAAATTTTATATTCTCTTTTTGTGAAGTGTAAAGTCCAATTAGCCCCATCGTTTTGTAACAAGTCAAAGTTTAATCGGTCTTCAAAATCTTGACATCCTCCGGAATTTAGTTTTGCTACGATCACTCAATCAACAATTCTTAAAATCGGGTGTCGAATATGGGTGCAAGAAAAGTATAAAAAAAAGAGTCTCTCAGATGTTGGGACCAAATTGAGTTACACATGGTTAAAATATGCCCAATAAAACCAAAGATGGATTTTCAACTTCAAATAGTCTTCAAGACTATTTCTCTAGCCCTTCTACAATAACCGACAAGATAATAAAGTAGACGTGAGCTTATAACCCACCCTGATTGGATATTGAGGCTCTCTGTTGGGCAGCAGCGATAGCCATGGCGTTCAGGCCACCGCTTCCGGGTGTCGCATACACGTCGTAAGCCGACGCTCTACGCGGCAACTGGACCGGCAGCCCGAGACCTGTATCAGGATGGCTAGACTGACCACCACCACCACCACTGCTCTCTTCATCGTAAGAGTGTTGCTTTGTTACACGTGATTTTCGTCTCACTGTGCCGCTTCTTCTCACCGCTCGTCTCCGACGTTCATCCTCGTCCTCGCCAATGTCACCTGTCTCTTGGTCTGCAAGGTGACAAGATTTGGTTTTGCGGTGATGAGATAGATACATTTGACAGCTAGGCACGTCCAACGCTCAATGGACTGAGAGAACAACTTGTGCTATCATTTTGTCAAGGTCTTGAGAAAGAAAACCATGGAAATTGCTGTCATTGCTAATTTGGGAATAGCCAAATTGTTCTCTTGTTCCAGTCAAGTGTAAGGAGGTTACTGCACCTGTTGAGGGGGTCTTGACTGCTTTCTGAGGGCTTGAAGATCGTCCCTGATGCCGATCTGGTGATCCACCTCGTGACTTGCTCCTTCTCTCGAGCTCCTTCTCCCATCTGAGCTCCTCTCGGCGCTCTCCTGCAACCTTTCGAAACTACAACATTACGACGGCCATTAGGGCTCAAACAAGGGCACACCACCACATTGAAGGGTCATTGAGACAGATAAAGAGATAGGCACATTGATAATTCATGTGCAATGTAGATCGTAGTGATTGCGGCATCAATCTGCGAGAATGATGATTAAGCCACAAAGCCGTGCATCGTTGACAGTCCGTCAGTTTATGATATTTCAATTTCATGGTGATAGTTGACAGCTTTCCGTCCTACAAAATCGTGCACTGAGGGGAAAGTATGTTTACAACAGAAAATTTATCATCTCGATTCATTTAAAAATTCAATTTGTATGCGAAATTACGGCAAATGTTGTATTTAATAAAGAATACTTTTCGCGGAGGATATCTTACGATTGGTTTGGTAAAAAGAACACTTCTATGGATGGGATTTTTGACTGGCTTGTTTCCAGAATTGTTGACCAAATTTGTTCCGCTGTCGAAGTCATATTCTCGTCTCAGTGCAGTGCAACGAAATATTCAGGAACACTAGATTATAAGCAACTATTAGCTTGTACGAGGCTAGTTAGCGTCAAAATTCACTAAGGTTTATCAGCAATTAACATGGCAACAGTTGGCCAAGACATGCCCATGATGATGTCATAAAATAATATGATGTTCTCGGAACGAGGCTCCACTTTTCCATTTTGCGGACCTCACACCCACGCGCTTGATCGTAATTATGAGTTTTTATTTGGAATCGATTGAAGCAGGAGAATTGCTCTTGAAATTTAATTTCTTTCCACTTGCAATCCTCGACTGATATTTTTACAAATGTCCTCAGAACACCTAAATTTTATCACATTTTTGAATAATCTCGATTGAACCGCGATTGAGAGAATTCACAAGTTTGAAATAATCTTGGGGTAATTAAATCAACGATGAGGTGCGTTCAAACTTTTCCTACCTCTAAAAATGATTATATAATAGTACTCTACAAGAGGAACACCAAAGTATCTGCATAATAGTTGAAGCAAGTGGGAAAGTTACGATCAAGGTAGACTATTATAATCAAGACAAGCTGGGGATCCCCTAGAGTCATCTCTCAGGAAAAAAATAACAGCAGCAACAATAACTATTGCATCATTTTTACAGGGTGGTTTTAAGCTTTAGAATACCGTCAATATCCCAGTAACAGTTTGATGGATAGAATTGAAAATTTACCGAGGAAGAGGAAACAAATCATATTAGTGGAATTTTTTACTTCTCCAGTCAGAAAAACTATCATAATCGCGCAATTACAAACATTTGGAATTTGACTGTCCACTCAATGCGTTGATTTGACGAATTACGAAGAGAAAATTTAATGATTTAACCCTCATGAACTGGGACATTAACGATATCCAACAATCTGTATTCGACATAGACCATAGAATACGATTTTACGATTGATCAAACTCCATTGGTATGAGTCTAGCGTGAAGTTGTTCATCCGTGACAAAAGCGGCTGCACTTTGAGTAACAATCAAGAGACTCAGGTGAGTGAAAGATCTCGAGGGAAAGGTGCTTGA